TCAATAAATCAATGAATCAATTTATCAATCAATCAACCAACCAAACATCCTTCTTTATTGATTTTACCAAACCAATATTCATATCAATAAATCAATGAATCAATTTATCAATCAACCAACCAACCAAACATCCTTCTTTATTGATTTTACCAAACCAATATTCATATCAATAAATCAATGATATCGACATTGTAATTCTGTCCATTCAGGCATCTTTGACATTTTTTAAGAAATGGAAAAAACCAAGAGCAATTTCAGGTCTAAAGTCTTACATGTCTGTAGTTTCAAGGCTATATTCAGTTTATACTGCGCTTTTTGCTGAATATTTTTTTTGACGTAAAAGTTATGGTCCCTTAATAATGCCTTTTCAACAATCATTTAGGACATATTGTAGCAAAAAAATTAAAGTCCTGGGTCATCTGCCTGAATTTGTAAGACCTTGTCTGATTTTCCTTTAACGATATATTCAGGCAGAACCAAGGCAGTCAGTTGATTTCATGCTTTAATCTTTGGTCACAACATGTCTTATGACTGTTTGTGTAAAATTTCGAAATTTGCGGACCCTGCTATTTACGGTTAAGAAAATCGCAAAGATGAGTAAATGCACTTGATTTATAAGATTTCTTTAACATAAATTTCTCAAAAAGTTCTCCATAGATATTTCTAATTTTGTTGTCATATTTTCTAAATAGAAGATTATTACCCTACCTAAGATGCCTGAATTGACAGAACTGAAATGTCAAGCCCAATGTGCATTGTGCACAGTGATACTAAAACTTTAAGAAATGAAACTCACGATATTTTCTCAAAAAATATCTGTTACCTTGTTAAATTAAAAACAAATGAATAAAAACAATGAATTTTGAAGAACGAAGGTAAATTTTGTTAAAATGTGAATTTACTCAAGAATAAATATTTTCCCAAAAATCTTCAAAATTTTCTCTCCTCCGAATTAACCCAAATAGTTCAGAAATATATTTTGCCTAGTCACACTTTGCCTAGGTAACAGTTTGCCTAGGTAACAGTTTGCCTAGGTAACATTTTGCCTAATAACATTTTGCCTAGGGTAACATTTTGCCTAGAGTAACAAAAGAGCGAATTTTTTGCCTAGTCTAAGAAATTTTCAACAATCCAAGATTTTTTTTTCAATAATCAGAGAATTTTCATTTAAAAATCCGCAAATTTTTTGGCAAAAACTTCGCAAATTTTTGAAAATCATTCAGTTTCCTATAACCCAATCAGAAGGAGAGACACATTGAAAATGGCTCCCATGATAACTGCAGGGCTTACCAGGCGGGGTAAGCCTAACTACAGAGATAAGAATAACGTCTATTATGTTTTCAATGGGGAGAGGGCAGAGACCATGAATTGGCGCTGTTCCCAGAGATCATGCACTGCAACCATAACAACAAGGATATCTACTGAAAACCTGGTAGGGGATGTACTCCCAACTCATGGCCATACCAACAAGCTGCTGAAGACTAAAGCTAAGACCACAGAAAAGGCTGTGATTGAGAAATATGCCAATGTTCAAGGAGCTCTACCTTCCAACGTGCTTCAGGAGATCAGCCAATCTATGCTGAACTCTGACTTCCCAGGCCAGATAATCAGTGCCTCTTCAAAGTCAGCTATCAAGATGAAGCTCTGGAGACAGAAGTAGATAATCAACCCAAGGCCTGAGCTACCAAAGTCCTTTGAGGAGTACATGAACATTGAACTTCCCACTAAGTTTACTCAGGCAGCCGATGGGGGTGAGTTCATGTTTCACAAAGATTGGGTTGACAATGAGAGGACGCAGCCTTTAGTGATGTTCATGAGCAGATGGTCTGCCGATATTCTGAAAACACACAGTGTATGGTTGTTTTGATGAAACTTTTAAGTCTGCTCCTCCCCCATTCAGCCAGGTGAAATATCTATGTGAAATAATATACATTTCAAACTTAATTTTTAAAAAATTGTCTTAATTAACTGAATTAAGTATGTATAATCTTTTATTCAGGTCTACATTGGGATGGCAGCATCTGAGGTAGGTGGCCAGGGTATACCATGTGTCTATTGCCTTCTACCAAACAAAAAGAAGACAACATACCTACAGCTGTTCAGCAAGATTAAGGAGAGGGTGGGAGCACCTAACAGGCTAACTACAATTATTACTGACTTTGAACTGGCTGTGTTCAAGGCATGTGATATTGTCTTTCCAGATGTTCAGCACAAGGGTTGTAGATTTCACCATAATGCAGCTGTCTGGAAAAACCTGGGCGCTCACAAGCTTCAAAGTCTATTTTACCAGAATCCACGTTTCCAGGAGCTTATCTATAGCCTGTACAGCCTTTGCTATGTACCTTCAGACCGGGTTAATGAGTACTACCATGAGGTTATAACAAAACTGGTAGATGATGGTGAAGAGAAAGATGAAGAATGGGAAGACTATCAAGAGGAGATTAATGCCTTTGGTTCCTATTACAGGACGACATGGATTGAAAAGAGAGGAGGCAGAGGTGCACTTTTTAAGCCTGAGCTGAGGAACCAGTACGCCACTGTCCTTGAGGGGGGACTTGAAACCAACAACATTTAACAAAACCTGGAATAGTTTGTCTGGCTACAGCCCGAATGTATTTGCTATCCAAGAGCTATTTGTTAAACAGGATGCTGAGGCCAGGAGGGCTTATCTATCGAATGCAGTCGGCCTGGACATGGCGACAAATTCAGGTCGAAAGCAGAGATCAAAGGACTCCAGACAGAGGGCGAAATTTGTTGTAGAAGCTTTCCATACTATGCCGAAAGCTGATTATATCCAAACCCTTGCACATGACCAGCAGAAGATAAATATTAATAAATAAAGATCACCTGTATGTATTCCTATGTAAAATGTATTTTAAAAATATATATATATATCTAATACATAACCATATTTTTTCTTTTGTAGAGTGACAGGAATGTTTAAATTGCTGTACAGAATACAATTCAATTCATTAATTTAATTCATTAAAATTTATCTGGTTAAGCTTTAAAAAATGTTTAATTCTTGACAAAATTTGTTTTTTATAAAAAATTATTGACTAGGCAAAAAACATGCTCTTGCGTTACCTAGGCAAAATGTTACCCTAGGCAAAATGTTACCCTAGGCAAAATGTTACTAGGCAAACTTGAACTAGGCAAAAAGTTACCTAGGCAAAATGTTATCTAGGCAAAAGTGAACTAGGCAAAAATGTGACTAGGCAAAATGTGACTAGGCAAATTGTGACTAGGCAAAATGTAGCTGAGCCATTCACCCAGATATATTTGAACTAAATGTGACCTCCGAATCAACCCAAATAATTTAGAAAAATATACACCCAGATATATTTGAACTAAATGTGACCTCCGAGTGACGCACCAAGGTACGAAAAACTCAAAACTTAGCGTCGAGAGGCCACAGATATCTGAAAATTTAAATATTCATAATAGTTAGTACTTAAATTTACTTTTAAATAAAAAATCAACTTTTTTTTTTTTGGGGGGGGGGGTCATTTTAATTTTTGGAATATTTAAAATTTATATTTTCACTTATTTCAAATTAATTTTTTCTATTTTTATTCCATTATGCATCATTCTAACTTGGACTGAAGACCTCAAAGCCCGCGATGCAAAAGCTTCGATTCTTTTTTTCCTTAAACCCAGGTAAAAAAGGGCCAAAAATAATTTTCCGTCTTTCATTAGTGGGGTTACAATCTGGGGTATAGTGTGTATTTTTCTAATCAGAGAGAGGTGACATGGAGGTTACCCCCCCCCCCCACCTCGTTTTCCTCTGTATAATTATAAATTATAAATTAAGGAGATATAGAACTCGGGAGAATAGAATTTGGATTGTTTATCATGACGTATTAGAGCTAGTTGTTAATAAATAAACATCATTTAATTGCTCAATCCGGTGTCTTGCTTTGGAAAACCTCAATTACAACTTGGAGCTGTCCTAGCACGTTACAGTTAAATGAAACATTTCCTAATCCTCCTCTACTCAGGTCTACTTTCATTGGTCGAAATAGGATTGAGAATAAAAGAATCTGTTTATGGGACCGAATTTATTGAATTAGAGCCAGGTAGCTGACCTACCTACCGTTGATTCAAATACGTATCTGTTTTTTGTAGTGTTGTTGTCAAATCCTGAATCAGTGATTTGAGACACGTGGTTGAACCATCTCTTGACCTGGCTCAAATTACTAAAATCCGGTGTGCAGGAAAATAAATACCCTTGAGTAAAAAATGCTTGAACTAAATATTAAACCTCGTGAAACTGTGATTTAAGGGAGTTAAAACAGTCGAGACAAACAGCTGCCATATCTCCGTTCTCCATCATCAAGGTTCCTCTATGAGCCCGGTGAGTTTTCAGAAACGGGAAATCCTATAAGAAAATAAGGATTAATAACAACTAAGAGGCAGTGCTTAAAATCCATTTCATTTTAATGCGGATCCGGATCCAGGCTATGATCATTTATTAAGATTTACTGATTTTTTAACAGAAGGAGAATTTTGGAATCATTTATTCTTTTTTTGCAGTTATTGGTTGATATTTTGCCAGTGGATCGTACGCACTGCTCAGGGATGTATATAATTTGAAGAAGGGAGGGGGGTGATGTCGAAAATCGGTTGTGGGGATGAGAGGGATTTAAAATTGGACATTAAATTGAAAATTTTTCCACCACACTTGATGTTTTAAACACGAAAATCAATCATTCCACATAAAACTCAATTTTTTTTATTTCAGCAAATAAACTTTTAAAACGTATGCACCGCTTAAACAAACCAAAAAAACTTGTTGTTCTCAAGCAAGCTTTAACACTAGTCTGGTTTCAGCAAAAAAAAATCGTGTTTGTAAAAAAAATATTTAAAAATATAGAAAATAAAAAAACACAAGAAGGAAAAATTTAAAGAGCCTCTTTTTAAAAAATAAAAGTCTCTTCAAATAGTTCGAAGAATTCTCCGTAACACGAACAAACTAAATAATTGAACGTAAAAAAGTCCAGTTGAAAGAATAAATGAATAAATTAAACACAAATTTATGAATAATTTAAAAAACTTGATTTTATATATCCGGAGTAATGTAAGTTGAATTCATGCGTAATAGGGGTTTTCTTATTTCTCTGCTGATTCATGTTTTTATTTACGCAACTTCTCAATACTAAGGGGAAGGGGGGGGGTCAACCTCAAAATTAAGCTCTTCGCTAATATATTTTATCCATGGGTACCCTCTGTGTAATGTAACATAGGATAAAAAATTATACAAGTGCAAAAAAATTCGACGGGGAAGGCCGAGCATGTCAGCAAGTTATGAATAATCATCAAATCATAATTAAATCGGTATTTATTTATTCATAAATATTATAAATAAATACGTAAATTAGACTTCCATACAATGGCATAGAAAAGGACATTTAAATTATTTTTTAAACAAAAATAAATAAGTTTAAAAACCGGGAGTGTCATCCTTTGCACTGTATGTACACTGTACAGTGTAAAGTATGTTCTGTACAATGTATAGTATGTTCAGTACAGTGTAAAGTATGTTCTGTACAGTGTAAAGTATGTTCAGTACAGTGTAAAGTATGTTCTGTACAGTGCAAAGTATGTTCTGTACAGTGTAAAGTATGTACCGTACAGAGTACACATGGCTTACCATTACTCTGAGAGCTCGTATTCGTTTCCGATAAGTTTTAACACTGCAGACGAAGCACACGTAGTCCTTGATGTTAAATATCCTGAGATGATATGGGACTGGAGTTCGAGAATCCTGGAACCGGGACCACTGGACCATCACACTACAAACAAATGTACATTAATAATAATTTAAAATAGATCTGAAATGTAACCCTCCTAGATCGCCCTCAGATACAGCGCATCATCATGCGGCCTGGAATCATCCATCCGGGCTTGTCTGTTTGTATCAAATAAAACTCAAAACGGCTGAACCGATCAGTCTTATTTTTTGTGGTAACATGACACAAGTAAAATAGTATGGCCTGGCAGAATTAATATATTTTGTCTAAAGTAATTTTAATAAAAAAAAATAAAAATCCGCCAAAGGAAACAGGAAATTTGCACAATTGTTATTGTTAATTTACTATATTTGAAAATAGAAAAAGATCAGTACTAAGTAAGCCTAGCTTATCAAAACTGTCATTTTCTATAAAAGTGCTATAAATTTTTAAAATAAATGTTTTAGAGAAAAAACAAATAAAAATGGAATGTGAACTTGTGATATCTTATCCACAGATTGTTCCAATCGAATAAAAAACATTTTTACAAAAAATATAAATATAATCTTAGTATTGTGAAGAATTCAGTGCTTAGGATCCGGTTTACTCTCTAAACCCAAATCTGAACCATTAAAAAAGAGATTATAAAAAAAATTCTGATTTCTGAATGATTCATCAAATTTTAGCATAAAAATAAGCGAAAAAATAAGACAAACCATTTGAAAATTCTGCTTTGTTAAAATATTCCAGAAAATCTTTAAGAAATGACCTGGATCCGGGACCGAATCCATTTTTTTCCAGTGCGGATCAGGGAACCAGATCCGCATCAAAATTAAATGGATCCTAAGCACTGGTGAAGATAATAATAAACTTATTGATCCAGAAAATTATACAATTTCATCCATAATTTTGAAAACGTTATTTCAATTTTGATTTATATCAAGCTTTTAATCAGCATAAATACACAAAAATAAAAATAAATGATTGAAAATTGATTACTTGTAAACTTGTAATTATAAAAAATTAAATAAAAGTCGTCTTCATTGGATTGATATTATTGCCCACCACTTTACCTAAGAATAATCTCTGTTAGTTGAAAATCAAATTAATTAAATATTCTTGATCTCAAATGTTGTGAAATACTGAATAATATATTTACTGATTCAGTCGGATTTGTACTATGTAGCTCGACGCTTGGAAACCCCGGTCTATTTTCCTTTCCATTAGAAACATGTTTATACCAACCAAGGACGTACACAGAGGGGGGGGGAGGCGTAGCCCCTACCCTAGAATTCGGAGCTATCACACTTTTATTTTAAACTAAAGGACCTGTATACGTGTACCTTTAAAATATCCAAGAAGCCAAATGTTTTGAATTCACAGTTCAAATTTTGCCCCACTCCCCACCCCCTAGAAATTCCAAAGGGGGGGGGGGGAAATTCGTTTGCGCTTCGCGCATATTCGATTCAGCAGTTCCGGATCGGAAATTATTAATAAAAATCATGAGAATAGCATGAAGGTATAAAAAAGTAGTTTCTGACAAAGGTATATTTTTCTTCAAAAAAGATTTTCCTCAAAAATAATATTTTCCCAAAGGGTCATTTATTCCCTGAATTTAAACTTTTTTAAATATTTCTAAGCATTTTTTCGCAAATAGAAAATAACTAAAATATAAACTTTTTAAAAATAGAATTATAAATTAAATTTGATTTAATGAATGCCCAACATGAGACCGTTACATTGAGTACAGATAAATGCCAATTTAAAGGCAACTTTTATTTGGACTTTTTGGGTTATTACTTAAAGAAGAAAGTTTGCTTTCAATTATGAAGTGAATAATAATATCTCGAAATATAAGGCATAACTTTGTATTGTAGCAATTTATGCATTTAATTATTACTTTAAATGTATCCATTTTTTTTGTTTACATAATATATGTTACGACAAAATTTTGCGAATTTTTCTGTTTTTTATGGATTATCAAAAAAATGTTTTATGGAAAATTATCATTGAAACTGAATTAGTTGGTTCTAAACAGTTATTTTATTTCCTATAATACCTATGATAGCAGAAAGTACAGACTAGACATGATCCATCCTCACGCATTGTTTCTGCCCTAGGTTTAGGCACATGCTCCTTTAGGAAGGAGAAGTAGGGAGCTTTCTTCCCCTGTGGTTGACTATACAGAATCCTGGCAAAACTGAGCTCTGAGTGGAGCCCGCACAGGAAACAGTAGAAGGAGGAGGTGGAAGGCTTGTGGTTCGGGTCCGCGGAGGCCGTGGAGTGGGTTGAGATGGGAGAGTGGCAGGTTGGAGGCTGAGAGGGTATGCGGGGGGAGTGAGGGTTGGAGAATGAACTTGAGGTTGTTCTAACACGGGTCTCCAGGTTAAGTCTGACACGAATGGTAGGTTCTGTTACAGTTACTTTCAAGGGGGTGTTATCACTATACTGAGACGGGTTAATTGATCTAGGTCGGACATTTTCCATTTTGATCGGATTGGATTGAAGGAGGGGCATATTGGCTCCGCCCCCTCCTCCACCGTTGTTGGATCCCAGAGAACGCCCTGAAGTTGGTGTGGGTGTGGCGCGGGACAATAAAGTATCACCGGGAGTAACTCGTCCGCTGGACTGGGGTCCAACTAGGGACTGATACGAGTAGATTCGTTCGTCCAGAGGGACAGCATCCTTTTGAAAAGTCGTCCACTGATTAAATAAACTAGTAGTACAGGTCTGACACGCTCGTATTCGTCCTTGGGAATCGTCGTCACAAGGAAAACCTAACTCGTCCCCGGAGCGGGGTAAAGTTTTCAGAAATGGAAAAAATGGTATCCCTCCGAAGGGCGGGCCCTGGGAATGGATGAACTTGAAACTATGAATTGTAAATTTTCTCTGGCACAGCAGGCATTCTATATCGGAAGGAATGTTTTTATCATCGTCCTCCGGTTGATCAGGATCACACAAGATCTCAACACTCGCTCGACTTGACTTCCGTTTCTTAAGCGGAGGTTCGAACGCATGCATCTTGATTCCGGACTGCTTCTCCCTGGTACACTTATAACAGTGGGAGCAGATTTGAACCATGCCCCCGGAGGAAATAGGACTAGCTCCGGGTGGGGGTTTAGTCTGCTCTATCATAGGATAATAAGGTTCATTTTCACTGTTGGATCTACAGTAAAGAAGGCGTAGGTAGGAGGAATGGTAATCTAACGCACATATGTAACAGACGAAGGTTGCCGTGTCAACTATATTTGTTACACGTTTACGTAATAGATAGTTACGGTCTGTATGCGGGACAGATTGCTCTTCAAACCTTGTCCACTGTTGGAACAGATAAACTACACATTCATCACAGCACTGAACCCGTCCTGCCGAGTCTAGAGGTCGGCTGCGGGGAGGCCGAGGATGAAAAACAAGACTAGGATAGAAGGGTTGTTTACCAACAGACCGGGTACTGGCGTACTGCAGAAATCCTTTTTTATAATCGTCTCCGCACACGTAGCATATTTCCATCGTTGCATTTTTATCGGGCAGTGTGAGATCAAGGATATCGTTTGAGCTCCCGGCGCCCTCGGATTGGTAACTTGAATGATGAGAGGTTGTGGACATGTGAGAGATAACAGAGCTCCGGGACTTCATGGTTTCCCTGTCCCGGCTACCAGAGCTCAAATCCAGTGCAGAGTCGTTGTCGTCCTGGGAGTGGTCGATATTCACAATGGGCGTGGACGACGGAGGTCCCATTTTTTTCCACCCAGGGTTGGAGACGATTGTGGTGGATTCTGAGGGTAGCGCTCCATCGGCCGTCCACAAAGGTTTTGAATGTGGGGCAGAGTAATCAGGTTTAGAACTAAGATTGACCAGCCCAGGAAACCTGCTCATCTCCTCCATGTTGACCGCAAGCTGCTGCTCCGGCAGTAAAACCGGTAGATCGTCAAGACGTTTTGTCCAGTAGACCCTGTTCTCCAGGGGGACTCCACCCTTCTCATTATCGTCCCACTGCTTCATCAGTGTAAGATAACAGGACCTGCAGCTGGACGATGTGGAGTCCGGAGTGGGAGGACGACAGCCCAATGGCGGAACGAGTTCCCGCAAAAACGGAAAATGCGGTAAAAGTTTGTTATCAGCTGATGTACCGTGGGGGCTCAGGAACAATGGATAGTCCGCCGGTCCTTCCATGCCGCAGACAAAACAGGCAATACGTGGCGGATAGATATCCGCCACGCTCCGCTTCAAGAACAGCGACATTTCACTAATTAAGCTCAACACTAGCCAAAATTAAATCACTAAAACTGGTCACATATTAATAAATTGTTCTAATCCGCACTAAGTCGTGGTGGAAGAGTTGAAACAAGTTTCAATCCAGGAATTTCTGTTGTCGCCATACTGAACCGATATGGATGAAAGGTTGGTTTAGGTGCGACTCCAGGGAGGATTTAAATCTGGGTTCACTCAAGGTTTAGAATTTAGTTCTTGAGGATTTTTATCTATCTCAATTCTCAAGCAGACAGGAGAGTGGAGAAACCTGAAACAAAGCAAAAGTTAATTAATACTAGATTAAAAACCTATTAACTTGTCAGCAACAACTTTAATTCTTAAGTAATAATCAAATTCATTTTTAAAAAAGAGAAAAATAATAATCATGATGAATGATGAAGATAATAACAGTGACCGTAACAATGACCGTGACCGTGACCGTNAATAATAATAATAATAATAATAATAATAATAATAATAATAATAATAATAATAATAATAATAATAATAATAATAATAATAATAATAATAATAATAATAATAATAATAATAATAATAATAATAATAATAATAATAATAATAATAATAATAATAATAATAATAATAATAATAATAATAATAATAATAATAATAATAATAATAATAATAATAATAATAATAATAATAATAATAATAATAATAATAATAATAATAATAATAATAATAATAATAATAATAATAATAATAATAATAATAATAATAATAATAATAATAATAATAATAATAATAATAATAATAATAATAATAATAATAATAATAATAATAATAATAATAATAATAATAATAATAATAATAATAATAATAATAATAATAATAATAATAATAATAATAATAATAATAATAATAATAATAATAATAATAATAATAATAATAATAATAATAATAATAATAATAATAATAATAATAATAATAATAATAATAATAATAATAATAATAATAATAATAATAATAATAATAATAATAATAATAATAATAATAATAATAATAATAATAATAATAATAATAATAATAATAATAATAATAATAATAATAATAATAATAATAATAATAATAATAATAATAATAATAATAATAATAATAATAATAATAATAATAATAATAATAATAATAATAATAATAATAATAATAATAATAATAATAATAATAATAATAATAATAATAATAATAATAATAATAATAATAATAATAATAATAATAATAATAATAATAATAATAATAATAATAATAATAATAATAATAATAATAATAATAATAATAATAATAATAATAATAATAATAATAATAATAATAATAATAATAATAATAATAATAATAATAATAATAATAATAATAATAATAATAATAATATTAATTAAAACAACAATTTGTAACGATAATAGAAACATATGAGTAATCTCACAAAAACAGGATTTTTCTGCGCATTATATTTCTTAAAATCATAGATTACTAAATTATAAAATCTGGTTCATACTAGTTATACTTGTAGTAATCGAGATTTAGTCTTTTACACTTGTCAAACCAAACAAACCGGAAAAAAGTTAAGTCTTTCCGATAAATCTTAGAAAAATTAATAAAAAATCTCTGTAATAGTTTGAGATTATTGAAGTTTCCAACTTATATTTTAACAACTGTACATTTCTCTATAGTGAATCCCCAAATCCATAAGAAATTCTAAAAAAAAAATTTAAATGGAAAACCTTTTAGTCAATTTTAATAATACATTTTTTATTTCTCAAATGACATATTACATTCCCCCTCTTCGTCCCCCTCCCCCCATTAAAACCTGCAAAACAGGTTTCAGAGACAGTACACATTTAGACAATCAACTTCTGAATGATTAAAACCGATTAAATTTTATTACATCATTCTAGTAAATTATAAAGATAAATTTAGAAATAATGAATAAGCAATATTTCTATAAAAAAAATATGGTTGCTAACGTATTGTTATATTATGATATTACGAATAAAAAAATGTGCTACGGGGCCATTTTTACCGGATTTAATAAACAATAACAAGAGACATTTTACTCTTAATCTTAAAATAAGCCAATTTCAGCCATATTTTACGCGTCTTTCATGTTAAACTACAAGTCAGCATTTCACCCCTTCAACTTCATTTTGGTTTTTCCATAAGGTAAGTTTGGGTTTTATTCGTTAGATCATGTTACAAATACAAAGGAGAGAGTGGGAAGCTATATTCATAATTTGTAATATTAATAACCTAAGAAGTTGGAGGTTGAAGAAACAGGAAAGAACTGGCTAAACATTTGAATTGAAATCCATTAATACTATTCAATGCGTATTAGCTACAAATTTGGTCGAGTTCCCACTCCCAGTTACAGGGTGTCAATATTTTCAAAATTATCATCCTCCCTCATTTTTCACCTCCTCCTTGAATGAAAGATGAAAGATTTTGCAGAGGGGTTTGCATATTTGATAGAAAATATTTTTTTTAATTTTTGAAACTGTCGGTCATTTTGTACCGTTTTACATTTTCTCAATGTCTTCCCAGCGAGCCTACGCTACTCCTTTGATCTTGGTGAAACACCTTTTAATATTTTTTGTTGATTTTGTTTTTCGCTGAAACGTGAATAAAGTAAAATTTTATTCTTCCTGCAATGTCCTGTGATCTCTTGCGAAAAAAAAACGCGGTGCCTAAATAAATGTCAACTTTTACGATTATTGAAAATACATCAATTTTAAAGAAGGCCGGGAAAGTTTTATGTTAATTCAAGTTCATGATGAAAAAATTGCTGCTGTGAAAAGCTATGCTAATTGCCCTAAATAGCTTTTAGGTAATGCTTGCAATGTATTTTTGCCCAGGCAATTCCATAATTAAAGAATAACCAAATTCAAATTCAAGATCAAATGTTGAAATTATGCTATGCATAAAAATTGGCGAATAAATGTTGACCGTTGGATGATTCACAGGTGTATGTTTTCTTCAAAATATGCCCCCCCCCCCTCTCTTTGAAGATCTTTTTAAGTTAGTTAGGTATGTCGTAGGTATTGGATGATTTTTGAAGCCATGAAAAACAACCATAAAACTTCAATTAAAATTACAACTCTTGATTTTTATAATCAAAGTTAGGAGGGAGGATGGTGTAAAAATTGTTAAAGAGGTGCTCTCTTTCTTCAGAATAGATATTTATGAAAGAGAGAAAAATTCCCCCCAAAAAATCTTTTTTTGTCCATTATTTCGCGTGCCGCCAGAAAAAATCGTGATTTTTTTAATTTGAGAGTTAAAATTTTCAATTTCTCATTTTTTAACTTAAATGCAGGGAATATTAGTTCCAAATCTAACACTTGGCTCATTTCTAACACTGAGAGTTAGAAATGGGCCAAATCTGAAGTTAACTTTTTCAAGCGCATAAATCTTTAAATCCATGACGAAACAAAATTACACTAGATATTTAGAAAAAATAGCTAATACTGTATATTGCAGGTGTGAGAATTAGTTTTTAATGATTCTTGATTTCATTTTCGAACATATTCCTATTGAACATTGGCACAACTAGTGCTTTTGTGAGGGGGGGGGGGAGGTGAAATATAATTCTGAGGGGCTGGGGGTACGGGCGGGCTTGTCCCCTTGCAGAAATTTTTTTTTTAAACCGCTTCAAGTTCAAGATAGACGTAAAAAAATAGCATTTTTAAATTGTTGAAGGGTCGCTCTGTGCTTAATAATATATCAAAGTCTTAAAATATCCATGGCTTGATCTTGTGTTAAATACAATTTTCTTTCGACATTTTTAAAAAGAACGACACTAGTAAATTAAACATTCGGTCTTCTAGTGTCTTTTTATGTATTTCTTAGTGTCTGTTAGTCCCTGGCTTAGTCATATTCACTAAGTATATAAAGTCCCCTATTACTGTCTACACCAATTTTTGTTGAATTTATCCACTAGTCATATTTGTTCACTTAACACAATACTGTATAGTTCCTTAATGATAGGTCTGTACTAAGTATTAAGTAGTTCCTGGCAGTACTTGACTATATAGTTCGTCTGTCAAGCCATTTATAGTCCCTCTGTCCTTGGTTGCCAGTAAGGGGCTTACCCTGTTTTCATCATAAAGTCTGCAAAAGTTCGAATAGTCTTATATAATCCTTATTATATTTCTTATTTTTGTAACATATGTACAGGTTTTTTAGAGAGGATTAATTAAGAAGTCGAAAACAAGAAAATAGTTAAAAATTCTATTAGAAATTATGCGCGATATGTCAAAAAAGAAAAATTTTGATATTTTTTCTCATTGACAAAATTTGATAAAGGTCCACAATTATGATCATCCTGGAGTCAAGTGAGGTAAGGGGGGGGGGGGGGAATTTGCCGGGGGGGGGGGGCAAAACGGCTTTGCCCCCCCCCCCCCCTCTAGTTGCGCCAATGATTTTGAAACAATTACTGGATTGCACATGTCGCGTTTTCGGAACATATCCTGGTCTTGACATAATTAACATAATTCATATAATTCATATCAATGTCAATTTTTAAGCATTTTCACACTTACGTAACAAAACAAGATTTTTGATAAGGTAAAATATCAAATATCAAAATAGAAAACAAAAACAAACTGCTCTTTTATAATTTAAAAATCATTACAGCATTTAGAAATCAAAGTATTAACATATAGATTTAACTAGAAATGAGGGAAACTGTTGGCTTAAAATCAGTGTTTCGGATCCGGATCCGTATCAGAAAACGTTGATATGGATCCGGGTAGCGCCAAAAATTAACCAAAACCATGGAATAAATAAATCAAAATGGTTCGTAAATATATTATTTACATGACGAAAATTTTTCAAAATTATCTTTAATAATTTAATGTTTACATTTATATAATAGTAATGACGACATTTTTAACTTTAGGATTACTATAGTTTATAAATTATAACCTTGCATAACATTTAATAGGGAAAATCCGATTCACAGAATCAAAAGTTACCTCGGATCCGGATCCGTATCAGGATCCGGATCCATCATCACGGATGCGGATCCGCGGATCCGGATCCGAATCAAAATGATATGGATCCGAAACACTGCTTAAAATGCTTGAAAATTGAAAATTTAACTGATAAAATGTGGAAACTTTGATTCTAGAAATGATAAAAAGTTAATTTAGTCTTGATTTTTGATTTCATTGATTTCTTTTGTAAGTTATAACAGTGAGTTTTGTTTTGAATTGCGGATGATACTCATAACGGGAAAACTGGATTTTGTCTCGAAAACGCGACAATGTTTCAAATTCAGGGTATGTTCGAAAATGGAAAATCTGACATTGTCTTGAAAACGGATATGGGCCGGGATCCCAAACACCCAGTCTTTCAGTTTGTGCCCATTTCATATGGGCCAAGTGTTAGATTTGGACCTAATGTCTCCCGAAATGATGCAGTGGCGTAAATAAGGGGGGTTATTGGGGTTATTTACCCCCCCCTAGAATCCTGGGGGTCAATACCCCCCCCTAGAATCCTGGGGTTAAATACCCCCCCCTAGAATTCTAGGGGTAATTACCCCTGAACATATTTTCAGGCCCTGAATAGCAGGGGTTTACACCATTTGCTGCCTCTACAAGTAACAGTTCCAGTTGCCTTGACCCCTTCCCTTCAAAAAAAAAATACATTCCCTATTCATTAGTCTGCACTTGTGTAAAGCGACTATTTTCATGATAGTAAAAGTTTTTGCGGCATTTTGCAGATGCTTCTTAAACTTTTAGTTCGGAATCGGTTACTTCAGCAAAGTTCACTCACACACAACTCGTCATAATAAAAAATATATATATTATGAGTTAATTTCCTAAAATACGATTTTTGGACCCCCCTCCCCCTCCTTTTGTACATGGATATCATATCATATGTAAGACAAGACAATTTTTGAGCCAGCTAAGACTCTGAACATGCTGATTTTTTAATGTCTAGCTTTAAAATTTTATTGTGCAATAAATATAAAACAAATTGAACCCTTGTTTCTGTCCTAGAGAACGTTTTTGTGTCCCCCCCCCCTCCCTCCTGTAAATTTTTTACTTTTTTACTTTAATTAATCAAAAATGAAGATATTCTGAACAAGTTCTTAAGCGCCAAGCCGCGCCGACTTTATAATGGAGGAAAGAGTTGTTACTTTGTTTTTGTTTTTAAAAAATGGTTGATTTTAAAATTAAATATCTTTTAAATTTGCACGAAAACAATTAAAATGTTCACTGTGCAGATACGTCGGAATCAGATATTTCAAATTTTAAGTCAACATATTCTAAATGATTCTAAATTCTAAAGTAATAGTCAATGTCATTAAAATTAGATGTTTTTTTAATAGAAAAAAAATGGTGTGGACAATAAAAAAACATTTTTATTTTTTACTTATAAATAATGTCATTTCCACATTAGATTTCGTTAAGATCTTAACATACTACATTGACGACAAGAAAATTTAACAATGAGTAATGACCATATTTTTTCAAAGTTTTGCAGAGTAGCTTTTCTAAAGATTTAAAAAAGTAACATCTTTTTCCTCTTAGAGTAAAACTATCATTTTTTATATTACTGCCTTTTTTGTCAATGTTTGGTAAAAAGTTTAGTTAAACTTAAATAAATTCAGTTTTTTTACAGATCTTTGTAGTTAATGTAAAATGAATGACTATAATGAAAGATATAAAACAAGGTGAAAGCTGAAAGGTATGTCATGAAGCCTTTATTAGATTGAGTTTGTAAATCCCAGAAATGAGTGGAAAATGCAAATCAACCCCAATTAAAACCAATAATTTGATATACATCATGATATTTTTCTAGGGGGGGGTAAAAAAATTTCTAGGGGGGGGGTAAAAAAAAATTCGGCGCGCTTCGCGCGCCAAATTAAAAATATTTACCCCCCCCTACAGAATCCTTATTTACGCCCCTGAAATGATGTATTATATAATTTTGGAAATCCCAACTATTGTTCTAAAAATTGCGATATTTCAAAAATATGTTAATTTAATCATGTTTCTTAAAAACAAATATCTATTCTGAAGAAAAAGAGCACCTCTAAACAATTTATAATTGCCGTCCTAGAGGGTCCGGGGACGCTAAATGTCCTAATCTAAGAAACTCCAGACCACTAAAAACAAAAGAATTACCCCAGAATCGTTATATTGTGATGCAGGGGTCCGTCCTGGTATATGATTTTTGGACCCCCCTCACCCTCCTATTAATTTTGTACATTTAATTTTTAATAATCTAGGGTTAGGTTAGGGGGCCGAGTGCCGCGTCTAGGACAGGCTAGGGGGACGGGTGCTGCGTCTAGGACAGGCTAGGGGGACGGGTGCTGCGGCCAAATGACCATGCAATGTGAATTACACATGAGATACATGTAAAAAATTGTTAAGGGGAGTCCAAAAACCGTATATTAGGAAATTACCGATAAAAAGGCATTAAAATCTTTTAACTTGTTTAGATTTGAGTTTTTAAAAAACAAAAATAGGAAAACCTTAAAATAGGTCACAGCGAAGTACAAGGCAGCTGATTTTTACCAAGTATCATGTTTTACACAATTCTGGCCGTTTTTGGCATGCTTTTTAATATCAAATATAAAATAATACTTACTCTGGTCTTGAAACTCGATTTTATATAATCAGAAATTGAAAAATTATCACTCTATGTACAATTTATTACTAACTATACGTTTGGTTGAAACACTTTACACTAGAGCGCTAGCTTTCCTTAAAACCCCCAGACACATTGCAAGCGGGGAACATACTGGCAGACATTATTATTATATCATTGAATGTCGTCGTAGTTTTAATAAAAATAGATAGTACATTTGTAACCAACTTATATTGTCGATTTTAATGAAAAATAATACTATATGTAAATTATCACAGAAAACGGGGAACTTTGAAGGGATTTAATCCTTGTTTGAATTCCATTTCATAAACTCCGTTTTCCATTTGTCCAATACCAGGTCATTGAACTCAACTTTACCAGGCAACCTAGCACCTTTCTCAGAAAAGTTTTTTATAATCGCAGAACTGTATTTCATCCTGAAACATATATTTTAATAGATTTAAATCAAATTTTAATGGGGGGGGGGGTTCACTATAGATGATAAGCATAATTATAATATACTAAAATTAAAATCACAGAGAAAGAGATAAACAGGAGAGGGTAAGGTACAGGGTTGTCCATAAAGGATGAGACTACGCAGTAAAGACGACCCAAAACTCTAAAAATTTGACAATTTGAGGTATGATTATTGGTTTCTGCATTCAATTCAGTATTTTAATGGTTTGCTACAAGATTAAGCACTAAAATAACCCATGTTTTGTTCCACAAGGAACCCTGAATGCAATAAAACGGACTAATCGAATTCCGTACAATCGTCTCTGAAGTCCCATCCTTTGTGGGTAACCCTGTATATTGTAAAGATTTTCATTTTCGGTTAAATTTTATTAAGCAATTGACATAAATACAACCAAAGGAAATAACCTATACAGTGATAAACAGAAAACTCTGGAATAATCAGATCATATACATACAGAGCGTCCCATATCATATTGGATTATCTCCAAGCTTTAACGCCAAAATACGCAAATTTATTACTCGAAAAAACCTGGCATTTTTTGCAAGAGAAGTTTTATATTAGCTCTAGACATTTTTTTTAATGATTTTTTTCTGATTAGTTCCTCAAATCTCCATTTAGATCTAATATGATGTTACTGATGTTACTGTATGTTACTTTACTAATTCGATCATAAGTTTGAAGTATTAATAGGCCTCTATATACCTAAGTCGCGGACACTATATTAAATTTGCTATCATCGGCCTTGTAAGACAAAAATGATGATTTTCTAGGCAAATAATAAGCTTACAGAGTTTACATAAAGAAATTAAACCTTATTTGTACATATAGTTAAATATTAACTCAAATCATATTTCCTTGAGAATTAGATAAAAAATGATCAGCCTTACCTGAAATAGTCTTGTACATATCTATCGGAGTAATCAACCTATAACATCATAACATAGAAATATTAGAGATTAACAAATAAATTAACAATTTTAGAAGGCGAAACACCCACAGGAAAAAAAAACTACAAATGTTTTAAACTTTATTGTTAAATTTTGCTTTCATCAATTTCTTTGCGATATCTTTATTCTTAAAAAATAAAAATTAAAACACGATCCGAAAATGTTCTTCGGTAATTTTTTATATGTCTTCTGCTAGGGCCACAGTGTAGAAAAAGCAAATGTTAATAACAACAAATTTCAAAAAAATTATTGTTCTATACATCATATGTCAAATTTTGACTCTGTAAAAAAATATAGGCAAAAACGACCCAACTGAAGGCAACCCTGGCTTCCCCCAATTGTCGGAGGGGGGGGGGGCAGTCCTTCAGCCCACACTTCTAAATAAAAAACGCAACACATCCAACCTGTTTAGTGATTGGATGGACCGGGACTGGGCAACCATAGTGTTCCTTTGTAGCTCTGTACACTGCAGAAGAAAATCCTGGAAAACAGTAACACAGACATTACAGACACAGTAACAAAGGGTATATCCTACAAAGAATGAGACTTCAGAGACGACTGTGCGGAGTTCAAAATGACTGCAGTTTTCTTATATTCATGATTTCCTGGAACGTGTCTGTAATCTAGTTTTTTTTTCTTTCACAATCATTTAATACATATATAGTGACTACATTCAAGGCTGAAGACTTACTCTTATAAACTTGGAATCGTCATATTTCAAGAGTTTAATGTCGTCTTTTCAGTCTCATCCATGTCTGGTAGTATTATTTGTTTGGTTATGTACGATTCGTCCAATCGAAATGAAAAGCTGATCTTTCATTTAGTTGAACCATCGAAAAAAGCGCAAAAGATCTTATCATATTTTAATATTCAAAACGTTCAACCCAACAAAATTATATAAAATAGAAGATGCGATATGTTTACATTTAATGGGTATTTATACTTTAAAGGCTCCAAAGTAAAGACTCAGTGACTTTTAAACCAGATGTCTGAATGAGCAGGGATCGGAATTAGTAGTCGTTGAACTAGATCTTGAATCACCGATTCAATCTCCAATTCACAGACATTTATAATTGTGACAAACAAAAATCATTTGATATCATTTTATTCAAATTAGAAATATATCTAACTGTAATAGTGTTCTTTGTCCGAAATATATTATTGTTATTTCTAATATCTAACTTTGACTCAGTGATTTAGAATTTGAACCGGCGGTAAGTAGTTCAATGACTCCAATTAATTAACATCTCACACCGAACCTACCCATATTCTTGAACTTGTTGCTCCTGTGTATCCTGGTGCAGACTAGACACTGGAAATGCTTGACAGAGTTACCCTTCTCCATCTGGTCTTCTACACTTACACCCCAACTAGACAAATAGGATTGTTTATTTGGTGTACTGTACCGTTTTGGATCATGCTACTGCTCATTATTAATTACTTTTTTGCTTCTAAAAAAATCATTAAATAATATTTCTTCTTCTTCTTTCTGTTTCAAAGTTGAACATTCAATTTGTTGTTCCTAAAAATGTCTTCCAATGCCTGACCAATTTTTACCTAACATACTTTAAATTTTATTTAAAAATTATTAAACTTTCAGATTTGTCAGTTTTTACTTTTTTATCTAAACACATCTGTTATATAACTATAAAGCATGAATGAGAGAAGTCTTAATACTTACGTTTAATATGCATAAACGTTAATCAAACGTCGCCAAACTGTTATATCAGCGATGATATATGATATTATATATATCTATTCTATTGATCGATATCTTTAGTATCTATATGCACACACAATCTATCTATCTATCTATCTACTTACACTCTTAAATATAACAAGATTGAATTGATAAACAATTTATATAAACTTTTTTGTTAACATGAAGTCAATACTTTAGCACTTGGTGTCCCTGACATTCTTTTTTATACGCTTTTTTAAATGTGCAAAAGCTTTTTATCAATATGTGCAGTGCACAGATATAATCTGAAATGTTTTCATACAATTTTGAACTTCAGGTTTAAAGTCATAAAATGAAATATAAAAGCAACATTTTCATAAAGTTCATTTTATTCAAAGGAAGGATTTTAAACTAGTTGTCCACCAAATATTTACCTTCTTTCACTTAGCAAATGTCGGAGGTACTGGTTTTCCACTTTCTTCAATGTTTTATGCTTCATGTACTGCATGTACAACTAAAAAGCAAATTATTCTGCTAAATTTATGTAAAATCAATTTATATTTGTCTTCAAAATATCTCAATGTAAATTGTACAATGTACAATTTACAATCTACGAATGTATGACAATACAGTAAAAGGAGCATGTAATAAATGAGTACTTTACCTTTTCGTTTTTGGCGATATTTTTGACAAGGTTTGCAACATCTTCAACGGATGAAAAGTTCTGGAGTCAAATTTTTTTTTTTTTTTTTAAATTATTCTAAAATGTGAAAAAAGTTGACATTTCGTTTCTTGTATTGGGTTTGTTTTTACGTTTTTACAATTGGAAACAATTGGAAACAAATAATTTACTTCATTTAGAAATTCTATAACTTTGTAATCTCTATGTCTAATTGCAACCTGATTGCTAGGGTTTATCAAATTAGAGTTAGAAGCAAGTGTTCAGTTCCTGTAAAACGTTTTAATCTTGGGAAATCTAGCAAAATAAATTTTTTATTTCCTGAATTGATATTATTGAAGTTGGGTTTGGTAAATATTCGTCAACATTCGGAGCTCCTAGAGACAAGGAAATATCATTAAAAAGATTTTTTAGAAAGAGAAGATGAGGCACATTCAGAGGAGGGGGGGGGCTATTTGGGGTCAGCCCCCCTGAACCAGTGAAATCTATGATTTTTCGGGCTTTTTCAGGAAAGAAAAAAAACTAAGCCCCCCCTGGAAAATTCCAAACTTCCTTACTGAATTCATTCCAATTTAAATAACTCTATACTAATATATGACCTCTATCTGCAGTAACTACTCAAGTTTTTTAGTTGTTTTCTTAGATTTTTAAAGTTGATCAAAATACAGATAGAACCAGAAAACTTAGGAATTTGAAGACGACTTTCAGATGCGTGTTATGCTGATGAGAAGGATGGAGCACATAGAGCTGGAAACGGAAGCATTGCAGAAAGTGTTACAGATATAAAACGAGATTGAAAGACTGAAGGCAATGTTGGAAAAGAATAAGAGGATAGATGAGACACAACAACACATGGAACATCTACAGGAAGTAGTTACAGCTGGGAGAGCAACCCTGAGTACGTAGGCTGAGATGAGTGAAACTGAAGTTATTATTGAAAAGAGAATACGGAAGTTTGTCGAGAGTGCTCCCAAAAACAGTGGAAACCCGGAGAAAGTGTTCTAATGGTGCGAGAATTTGGAAACTCATCTCATTAACTGTAAATGGGAAACGATCCCAAATAAAGATGTGTAAAGGATGCTGGTGTTCTGCATCACGGGACCAGATAGAAAAGAGACACTGCCGCTTTATCCCACAGGGTTAAAGAATTTAAGACATGTGAAACAGGAGTGTTTATCAATGAGATGCGCATGGGACTGTATAATGCAACGTTGAAGAAAACATGCCTGTTTTTATGCTTAAAGAGCTGCAGTATGAAAACTTGTTCGAGGCATAGCTACAGGGATGACATACCTAAATATATAGGGATGACCTACCTAAATAAATAGGGATGACCTACCTAAATATATAGGGATGATATCCCTAGATATATATTGGATATAGGGATGACCTACCTAGATATATAGGGATGACCCCCAGCTGTAAAGCTCTCCAGAGTTTCTCTGTTATATAATCTGGACAAACAGCATTCTCGAGGGTCAGCATGAACTTGTATTTAGATATCTCAGCGTAGAAATCACTAAAAAATTCAATTATATATTTAATACAATTTTTTATAATCAAACTTTTTGTTTGTAATTTTTATACCTTTACAACCTAATATTAAGAAATATATATTTTCTTGTTTTTACACCATCAGGTTGCAAAGATATCAGGATTAAAACATTAGAGTCTGCGGTGAGTCTTCTTAAGTTTTTCCTTTGCTCATTATATCAATTTGATTAAGATCATGTTTAGATGTTAATTAAACTCTTTAAGAATTAGCCAACAAAAACAAAACAGCAAATCTTGAAATTAACGTTAAAAATTAACAAAAATCGCATTTTATTATCCAGATAGTTACTTATTATGCACAGACGACATTGAACCCTTAACTTATCATGGACTAAATCTTAATTGAAAAAAATAAATAATATTAGAAATATGCAGTGCAGGAAGCCCCATCGGACATCATTGTTTATATATAAAAAGTGTCGATGCAAATATAAACAACTCCCGACCGACAAGGTTTTTATTCCTCCCAGAATAATTAATGATAACAATTATAACACTGTTATTTTGGTCGCAGTGTTATAAAGTTTTTGGACAGAAATTTTCTCTTTATCGAGAAGGTTCAAGCCATTATAGATTTAATTTTGTCCCGAGCTTAAGCGAGGGACAAATAATCTAAAAAGGCGAGAACCTTCGAGATATAGAGAAAATATAAGTCCAAAAACTGTACAGCACGCCGTACCAAATTAATAGTGTAATAGATAAATTTATGAAACGTTTGTGTACTTGTCTTATTTCAATGGCTATTTCAATAGATCAAATAAGCTGTGAAACAAAGCAGAAGTCAAATAAAATTAATTTCAATTTTATTTTATAATGTACAGCTAATTTAACTTTACAGCAATTCCATGAAATTAACTATGAAGTGAGTAAGAATGATAAAGTACACTATAGTTTCATAAAAATATAGTATACTTTTCTCTAGTTATTAATCATATTGATGTTTCTACGGTATCTCCCTTCATCATATTAAATTATATCTGCACTCTGCACTGTTAGTGTGAGAAAGCCCTATGTTACAGTAGTTCTCGATTGGCCCGCTAGAGTTCTCTAGTGACATTTCAACTTCAGTGTTTTTCTTATAAGATTAGCAAATATAATTGACATAAAAAGATTTTATAAAACGAGATTGCGTGAAAATTTCAAAAATGTTTCGTTTCAATTTCTTCAATTTTGAGAGCTATATTTATAATTTTCTTACCTAGTTTGACATATTATATATATCAGGAAGTTTATTCAAACTGTACAACGTCTTGTCTGTTTGTTAAAATACTTCTGTGGATTTTCTTGACATTAAGAAAATCAATAATACATCGATTATGTTTCACCAATGTAATAATAAGCTCAGGCCTATCGCCTGACCCCTATAATTATATATTAATTGTTTTATTGATTTTCTTATGGTCAAGAAAATCCGCAGAAGTATTTTAACAAACAGACAAGACGTTGTAAACTGAAGACAAATTTCCGGGTTTATATCGTATGGTAAATTAAGTCAAAAAATAATAAATATAACTCTCAAAACTATAAACTGTAAAAAAAAAACATTTAAAAAATTTTCTCACAATTCCGTTTCAGATAAACTTTTCATTTCAATTATATTTGCTGAATTCTTAAGGAAAACACTTTATGTGAGCTGTCACTAGAGAACTCTAACGGACAAATCGTGAACTATCAGGGGGGGGGAGGGTCTACCTGTTCTGCATATTCTCACTACCACGAATACTCCCTGGTAAATCCTAAATATAAAGTTAACGTACTTTTTAATTTTTCCTAATTCAAATCAAAAGATTTAGAGGATTTGAATTCGCATGTTTTTTTTTCAACATATATCACTCCCTATATAAATATATAATTATAGCTATGTATAATACGAATAAATACAAATTTTATTAATCGCATGTATAAAAACAAAAAAAACAAATTAATTGTTAATTGACATATATAAAAATAATAAATCTTTAAGATTTAGATATATGTAAAATGTAAATAAACACCGTGAGCTTGGAACAACAAATAGAGGTTGTAAATAAAGATAGTTATATAATGAAAAATTTATATTTTCCGAGCAAACAAAATTATATGTAATATGTATGGCAAATTTTATCTCAAGTTGAATTGATTCTGATAAGATTTAAGAGAAAATAGTAACATAGATACGCATAATCTGATTACTGTATACATCTTTTTGTATATTTATATAATTATTTTTCAAAAATCAGATTCAAATTTAAACATTTTAATATATTTCAGGATCTCACATATTCAAGTATATCTAGATGTTTTATGCCTTGGGGCAATCCTCAGTAGNTGAACCCAGCTATCTCTACCTTGTTAGTTAGACAGGAACCCAGTGAGTCTACTTGAATGTACTTCATGAACTCTTGAACCCAGATATCTCTACCTTGTTAGTTAGACAGGAACCCAGTGAGTCTACTTGAATGTACTTCACGAACTCTTGAACCCAGATATCTCTACCTTGTTAATTAGACAGGAACCCAGTGAGTCTACTTGAATGCACTTGATGAACTCTTGAACCCATATATCTCTACCTTGTTAGTTAGACAGGAACCCAGTCAGTCTACTTGAATGTATTTCATTAACTCTTAAACCCATATATCTCTACCTTGTTAGTTAGACAGGAACCCAGTGAGTCTACTTGAATGTACTTCAGATGAACTCTTGAACCCAGCTATCTAAACCTTGTTAGTTAGACAGGAACCCAGTGAGTCTACTTGAATGTACTTCATGAACTCTTGAACCCAGATATCTCTACCTTGTTAGTTAGACAGGAACCCAGTGAGTCTACTTGAATGTACTTCACGAACTCTTGAACCCAGATATCTCTACCTTGTTAATTAGACAGGAACCCAGTGAGTCTACTTGAATGTACTTGATGAACTCTTGAACCCAGATATCTCTACCTTGTTAGTTAGACAGGAACCCAGTGAGTCTATTTGAACGTACTTGATGAACTCTTGAACCCAGCTATCTATACCTTGTTAGTTAGACAGGAACCCAGTGAGTCTATTTGAACGTGCTTGATGAACTCTTGAACCCAGCTATCTATACCTTGTTAGTTAGACAGGAACCCAGTGAGTCTACTTGAATGTACTTCATGAACTCTTGAACCCAGATATCTCTATTACTGGGGGTATCACACCCAGACTGTACATAGACAACAGGGGCTAATCCTTCATCTTCAGCTAGCCTAGAGAACAAGAATTAAATTATTAATATCTTCTGATAAGATTAGCAAATCAATAATGATCCTAATTTCCAGAAAATAAAAAAAAGTCTCCTAGGGATTGCCAGGGGTCAAAACAACTCCGGCGATAACTAAATTAATAATACGCACACAATTTAGACTTTTTTCATTGGCTGGATTTTTAAACCAATCAAAAGAGAGCAGAAACGTGTTAGCAAACGAGGAGAGTGTAAGATCTATGGATCTTTTCTTAAATCTTGATGTTCAGGTTGAATCCAGAAATCGTGATCTAAAGAAGCACATGAAGATCTACTTATCTAATTCTATACTTGTTCCTCCTGTATATACATATATAAATATTTAATCGAGCTTTATCTGAGATTTTATTTGAGTTTAATTAAATTTTACTTTAAATGTATCATTCTGGCCTAAAGTTTTATATTCTCAAGCCTAAAAAGCTTTTTTACAACGTCTAGATTTATACTTTAAATGAGCCTATAACTAAAAAATATATTTAATGGTCTATATATTTCAGACCATAATGGGCTAGAATAACTGCGTTATCCTGCCTTAGTACTCCAGGTTGTGCAATACTAGGTTTATAAAACATCTTATTTAAATGTAAATGTAACACTGCCTAAAACCTTTTTTGAATTTAAGCTCATTAAAACTTATGGATGTTATATAAAGTGAATCCAGATCGTTCTTGTATTTCATCGCCTGTCCTGAACTATGAACTAATGAATTAACAGGTGAAAATACATTCCTAGAGAATTCTAAACTTTTGAAGCTTATCCGAGACTAATTACTCCTTTATCTTGTAGACCAAGTTCTCCTATGATCTACCCACGCCGTACTCCTTGACGAGGATGATCTCTTCAATCTAAAGAAAGTCTGATAGAGCAGATTCAAACCGACTGCAGAGTGTCTCCCTGCTGGGCACCATCGTCTTCACCTCCCACATGGAGAAGTCCTGTCGGAAGCGTCTTCCTTGCTTCTCTAAACCAGGACTGCTGCTATTAAGCAGATAAAGGTGAAGATTAAATATGAAGCTGCTCTCAAGATGAGATCTAATGTCTAACTTAATCTTATTTAGATCTCATCATTGTCCTCAAGATTGAGATCTGATGTTTAACTCAACCTTATTCGGATCCAATCAGCATCTATCCGTACCTCCTCTCGGAGAAGTATCCGTTCCTCCTTTCAGAGCAGTATCCGTTCCTCCTCTCGGAGAAGTATCCGTACCTCCTCTCGGAGAAGTCCCATCGGAAGCATCTGTGTTCCTCTAAACCGGGACTGCTGCTTTCGAGCAGATAAAGGTATATAATCAAGTTTCGTGTGATCTTTGTGAACAATTAAAGACGTAATAATAATAATAATAACAAAAATAACAATTTGATACTAATAAAAATAAAAATAAATAGTAGATAAAAACATAAGCAATCCATAAACAGGATTTTTTTGCAGATTAAAATATTTAAATCCTATATTATAGGTGAAGAATGCTCCTACCGATTCTTCTGATAAAAAGAGTTGGTATATTTATCGTCTATTAAACTGGATAGACCCTCTAGGTACTGGGTAGTCAGAGCAAGATCGCTTTCTTTCCTAAAAAAGGATTTATCTAAATTATTTACAAGGGTTATTTAAAAAAAAATTTGTTCCGAAAAAAGTTGCAAAAATATAATTTCGACCAGTACAGGAAACATTCAAACCAACTAAATGTGGTGGCTGGTGATGTCGCAGTCGAAGATGTCGGATAAATAATTCTGGACTTTATTGATGTTCGACATCTGCATGTTAGAGATTAAATTATTGATGTTCGACATCTGCATGTTAGAGATTAAATTATTGATGTTCGACATCTGCATGTTAAGAGATTAAATTATTGATGTACTAATGCAAGGAAAGTTAATTGCGGTCGTGTATACTCTGCGTACATATTGAAACCAGTTCTCTTTGGGCAGAATTTGTAAACAAGAATAGATGCATTGATGTTCGTCTTGTATCCAAGGAGGTTTAAAGCATTAAATTTTGATAATTTTGATAATTCTCATAATAGTTTCCTATGATCAGAATATTTCATTGATTTTTTTATGTGAAAGATGGATCCCATGTCAGGCTGTAACATCCGTCTTGTGTTTACATTACCGCCCAGAGACAGTACACTGCAGTACAAAAGATGGGTATACTTCTGAAATAACTTTTCCTGCATTACATTCTTGAGCACAAACAAATATTATCTTCTAGGAATGTTACTTCCTATAAATGAATATTCTGTACATTTTACATTACATTCTACATCCGGCCTTCAGTACACTGTATGAGGAAGTAAATGTATATTTTGTACATTTTACATTACATTCTACATCCGGCCTTTAGTACACTGTATGAGGAAGTAAATGTATATTTTTTACATTGTACATTACATTCTACATCCGGCCTTTAGTATACACTGTGTCAGGAAGTTAATTTATATTCTGTACATTGTACATTACATTCTACATCCGGCCTTTAGTACACTGTATCAGGTAAATGTATATTCTGTACATTGTACATTACATTCTACATCCGGCCTTTAGTACACTGTATCAGGAAGTAAATGTAAAGTGAACTCATTTTTATTCGTCCCCTGTCGTTATATCAGGGTTAATTAAATATATTTTATAAGGAGTAAAATACGAGATCGAATAGGACTTCTGTTAACAAATTTCTTTCACAATCTTTTTTATAAATATAATTAATTGTAACTGAAAATTTACAAAGGTTAAACCTTTATTTGATCAATTATGGGGAAGTATATCGTCGTTCTTCTAACTTAAAAAGTTTTTAATTCTGACAATTTCCTCCATCGTTTCAGCAACAGAAATGCGCGAGTCACTTTTGTATAGAGAAATCACAATTAAATAAATTTCTAAAGAGATAAACAATGATATCTTCTTCATCCTTGTGATACGGACATTCCCCGGAGAGTCACCGAAACTTACGATTTCGAATTTTTCATTTTTTCTTTCAATTTCAATTTCAATACCTGAAGGTGGAAGAGTGATTGAAAAGAGACATCATATCCGCATGACTAGATTTTGAAACATTTTTTAATAAAAAAGTTTTACACGAACATTATATGAAGTGAAAACCCTAAAACTTTGGAATAGGAAGACGATTGTTAGACTCAAGGTTTCATTTTAAAAAGTTCCATGAACATGGAACACAACAATTGTGCAATGTACACAGGCCCATTTCACTTTAAAATTTGATTTCAAGTGTTTTGCCCTGTAGCAACATCAAGTACTCATTAGATTCCTTAAATGTCTTCAATCTTTTATTCCACAGTTCTTTGGTTCTTACTGCAGGACATCCTTTATGTAGTTATCTCTGTTTGTACGTCTAACTGTTTGTATGTCAATTTAAATCATGAACCCCTAAACCGATTTGCCTCAAATTTTGTTTGATGAACTCGGTAGAACCATGGGAATGTTGCTATCTTGGTTTAACAATTCTAAGTAGAGTGGGTTGACTTGTCTAGTAATCTTATGATACAGGATATTATTCAAAACTTTCGAGAGATGAGTGTAACAACGAATATTTCGTTTAATAATATCTAAAATGTTTTTTCCTGAAAATTTGGTTGTTTTTAGGGCTCTCCTCATGAAGCAGGGACCAATGGACATCAGTTCTAGGTAGAGGGAGGTCGTACTCTCTACAGTTCAGTACAACTTTCATAAGCACAGGGGGGAGGTTTGTACTCTCTACAGTACAGTACAACTTTCATAAGCATAGTGGGGGGGGGGTTGTACTATCTACGGTACAGTACAACTTTCATAAGCACAGAGCCCAAAACTTAAGACAGGGTATGGTTATAAAAACCAGTTTCGAAACCCGGGTTTCACGAATGAGGTTATGAAAGTTTTGTGGATATCAAAATTTTTGTGAAGAAATATTATATTATTTATTTTCTTCATATTCTCCATTTTTTCGAATCTCTTTAATCAAAATCTACACAAATGTTAAGACCCCAAAAAGGAAACTAGGGAGTTTCGTTCAACGATACTCTTTTAAGTTTTGGTCTCAGGGGGGGTCGTACTCTCCACGCAGTACAATACAACTTTCATAAAAACACAAGGGGGGGGAGGTGGCGTACTCTCTATAGTAAAGCACAGTACACATTTCATAAGTGCAGAAAGAAAAAAATCTTTAATCTAGAATCACTCGAAACATTTATTTCTGAAGTTTTCTTTTCTATTTTTGAAAAATATTATTCTGATTTTCGTGCTTTAAGTTTCAAAATCTGAATAAGATTTAAATAAATGTTGCACGATTTGTTGATTTTTAATAAAAGTGTTCCTGAAATCAGTTCCATAGAAAAATATATTTGCAAGGTTTGGATGTTTCATGTATTTCCGGTCATTTGTCACAAAACAACTAAGCATACATAAAAAAACGTTAAAATCTTGATATTTTTTATTAATTTGTTAAATAGCAAATATATGAAACAGGGTGTCCCAATAAACATGGGAATTCAGTGACGAATTCGAAATCGTCTTTTCCAATAATTCTTTGATTTAGTATAGTGATACCTACTGAGAAAGCTGTAATCTGTAAGAGTTTCGTCTACTATGTTCACATTTTGTTTGTTTATGTTTTGACTGCATACGGTTGTACTTTGTAAAACAAGAAAATTGCAGTATAAAAACAGTGTAAACCTGTCCGTTTTCACTGTTCATCTTACGGAGACATTATAGACACATCTTTACAGTCTTTTACCGTTTTCATAAAATAATAATAATATTATGGCTTTTAAAATTAGGTATTACAATGCTAATTTATAACAAAGACGATATAGAATTCGTCACTAAATTCCCATGTTTTTTGGGACACCCTGTATAAGACTAGTGAAACTTACCTTTTTCCATCATCACATTCCTGTAAACCATCATCTCCTTAAAAATAAAAATTAATGAAATTTCCTTTAAAAAGTTTAGCCATAATATAATCTTTTTTATTCTGAAAAAGGGGTAGTTTGCATTAAAAATAGCAGTGAAATTTAAAATATTCTAACAAACATGAGAATAAAATCCAATAAACAGTAAATGGAGTCCACCAAAACTGATAATGGAGTCCACCAAACCTGTAAATGGAGTCAACAAAATCTGTCGATGGAGTCCACTAAACCTATGAATGGAGTCAACAAAACCTGTAGATGGAGTCTACCAAACCTGTAAATGAAGCTCACCAAACCAATGAATGGAATCAACTAAACCTGTAAATGGAGTCCATCAAACCTGTGAATGGAGTTCACCAAACCTGTAAATGGAGTCCACCAAACCTGTGAATGAAGTCCACCAAACCATAACAGGAATATCGGGAAAACTAACGTCCACTTTTTTCCCCTCAAGAATCTAAAAAACACTTCAGTCCAAACCTGTTTGGGCAAACTTTAATATCAAATACAATTTATTATCAATATCTAGTTTATACAAAATCTGTCATTTCTTATATTTTCATCAATCTAATTATCAACTTAAACTAGAAGATTACTAGAATGACTTTGAGAACTCGAATTTTACAAGCTTCCATTTTAAAACCAAGAGCGAGGAAAGCAAACTTTTTTTTACTAGAAAAGTTATTTTAAAATCAATTCTTTAGAAAAAGTATTTGTATTCTAAAATATGTAATACTAGCTGAAGAGCCCGTGGAAAAAAAAAATTTGAACAAAAATTCGCCTTTGACCCCCCGTCGGCCACCCATGAGTGTCCGCAAAAAAGTTAAGCCCAATCTGTCCAGCCGTTTGGCCAGCAATATGCAACATATACAAATACGTATGTCTTGTTTTTTTTATAGATTTCAAACTAAATGAAATTTATATTTAAGGTTAATTGAAATTTAAAAAAGAGAAGCACGCCTGATTCACAATTCTGTACCTTTAAACCTTTATCTGATCAAAAGCGTGGAGGATATCGTAGTTTTAGCTTATCCATTGTTTCTGAAGCAGAAATCCGCAATTCACTTTACAGAGAAAATAATCAATTTTTTAGAAAGAAAAACAATAATAACTTAATCAGTCTTGCTAAGATAAAGGTTTAAAGGATATAATTATGAATCGGTCATTTCATTTTATAAATGAGGATTACTTGAAATTACGTCTAAACTCCCTTTAATATATGTTTTTGTCCTAAGCCAACTTACCAGACTAATTTCCTTTAACATAGGTTTTTGTCCTAAACCAAATTACCAGGCTAATTTCCTTAAACATATGTTTTTGTCCTAAACCAAATTACCAGGCTAATTTCCTTTAACATATGTTTTTAACCTAAACCAACTTACCAGGCTAATTTCCTTTAACATATGTTTTTATCCTAAACCAAATTACCAGGCTAATTTCCTTAAACATATGTTTTTGTCCTAAACCAAATTACCAGGCTAATTTCCTTTAACATATGTTTTTAACCTAAACCAACTTACCAGGCTAATTTCCTTTAACATATGTTTCCTAAACCAACTTACCAGGCTAATTTCCTTTAACATATGTTTTTAACCTAAACCAACTTACCAGGCCAATTTCCTTTAACATATGTTCTTAACCTAAACCAACTTACCAGGCTAATTTCCTTTAACATATGTTTTTGTCCTAAACCAACTTACCAGGCTAATTTCCTTTAACATATGTTTTTGTCCTAAACCAACTTACCAGGCCAATTTCCTCAGCAAAAACAGAATTATCCAAAACTTTAAGTGGGGCATTCAGAACCTAAAAAGTCTATTTTTTAAAAATTATTCTGAAAAATAATAAATCATTTTTAATTATAATACCTCCTCTTCCCCCCCCCCCCCCCCCNCGATTTTTTTAAAAAGATGGGACATTAAAACTTAAACATATAAATATGTAATTTGGGAATTATAATGGAAAAATGTAAAAAATAGATGAATATATCTAAACTAAGCATTTATAGTAATTATAAAGTAACAAAGGAACTGAGTTTATGCCACAAAGTTTTCTGCACCCTATATCTATGCAACCTAATATGGTCTAAACCTATTAGATCTGTAGCACAATACATAGTTTGAAATATCAAAGGGTTCCAAAGATAAAGGGATTAGAAAATTGTGTCAAAAACTTGATTCCGTTAAATCTCTTGAACCAATTTAAATCCGGTCTTATTAAAAAAATTACCGTATTCAAAAAGAATATATAAAGCTATATGCTCCCCTCGATTAATTTTTAAAAATTTAAGAAGAGGTAGAAAAATCGGAATATTTTTTTATAGCAAGGGTCACTTGATCCTGAAGTAGGGCTGAGAAAACGTAGCCCCCCCCCCTTCCCTAAAATTACCTTAGGGTTAAAGAACTGCTGGACAGCGTATTTGAGGTAGATAAGGAAGAAGAGGAGTAAAAGAAAGGAGAAGATGGAGAAAATGGTTTTCATCTTTAGTCTCATGAGAAGGTACAACATTATAGTCCTTCATTTAACATATTAGTCTGAAAACTCACAATAATATACATTTCAGGAAAACATATTAAGGAATAAGTCACTAGCTGTCGAGTAACCTTGTTAACCTTTTTGGAAATTGGTTACATTTGGGAATTAAGAAGTAACCTTTGGGAAAATGTGTTAGTAATTTAGTAACTACAGAAGTTACCAGAGGGAAAATTCTACATACTACTACAGTAATAAACAATTAACATTCATTCTGTAGAAATCTAGGCCGACCCCAACTCAACAAGAAACTGCCGAATGACGGAAATATATTTCCAGCTGATAAATAACACAAGTCTATGGTATACTAACATGAAGGTAGCCAGGCAAATGACTACTAAACACTTAGTGATATGTATATTAACCATGTACTTTAACTTTGCTACTATAACTAATAAGAAGGGCTTTCCTTTAAGTATCTACGATACTATACCAGTATATACCAGTATATATACCAGTATATATATATTAACTTGTACAGTTAAATCACAACTCATTAATTATTGGGAAAATCAAGGGGGGGGGAGGGTTAGGTCAATTTACGCATTTAATTTGTAAATTTAGTAAGATAAAACCAAGGAAATGTTTAACACATTTTTTGCTTTAAATATACTCTTCACAATATTTTGACGCACCCCCCTCTAATATGGTTCAAACAGGGTTACCCACAAAGTACAAGACTCTTGACGACCAAAAATCTTTGAAATAAAACAATTAGAAGGTTGAATTTGGTATTTGCACTAAAAATAGTTGTTAAATGTACTTTAATGATTTGGGACCGCAGGAAATTTAAATTACCGGAAAACGGCATTCCGGTAATAATCTTTACGGAAAAAATATGTTGTTGATTAGATGTCTGTACGATAAGTTCTGTACAGTCGTCTCTGAAGTCTCATCCTTTGGGGGTAACCCTGTATTAATCTGCGATCATGCAGATTAACCTGTAAAACTCAAAAGTTGTCACAATGTGGATATCGAGATAAAGTGTTGTATACGATTATATAGGGTTTAGATTTTATAGACTTTACATTAATTCTTTGTAGATATAAAACATTTAATACTGAACATTAAAACCAAAACTCGCTTAATTTGAGTATTTTTTTCAAATTAAAGGAATCGAGTGTAAGCGTAATTTAAAATGACTCTCCATGCAGATGTTGAAAAAAAAATCGAATTTTATTTAAGCCTATATAAAACCCCCTGGCCACCCATGAGTGTTCACAAAAAATTTGAGCCCATTTGGTTCAGCCGTTTGGCCGGCTATACGCAACAAATATACGAATGTCTTGTTTTATTATATAGATATGGACTGTTCACAGTGTAATATTTAGTAAACTGAGCTGTAAACAGAACACGTATAACGTTATATTTACATTTCTAAATATAATAAAAAACAGTACGATCCGTACTGCAAATACAAACAATAACAATTTTGCACGTTTTTTTCTAATCTTTCGATATTAATTTATAATCCTTGACATTCACTTTTTCTAATCCAGTAAATACTAGTTCTAATCCTGCCCGATCTGAATTCCAATCCATATATCAAGGTTTTAATCCTTCTACCATGAAAGTAACAATGTCTTCTCTGGTTCTAATCCTTGTATCCTGGTTCTAATCCTTCTACCCTCGTTTCTAATTCGTGTATTCTGGTTCTAATTCTTGTATTCTGGTTCTAATCCGTATACCAAGGTTTTAATCTTTCTATCCCGGTTCTAATCATTCTATCCTGGTTCTAATCCTTGTATCCAGGTTCTAACCCTTCTATCCTGGTACTGATCCTTGTAACCTGTTTGTAATTCTTCTTTCCTGGTTCTAATCCTTCTGTCCTGGTTCTAATCCTTAAACCATGGTTCTAATCTTTCCTGGTCTAATCCTTATATACTGGATTTAATCCTTCTATCCTGGTTCTAATCCTTCTATTCTGTTTTAATCCTTCTATCCTGGTTCCAATCCTTGTATCCTGGTTCTAATCATTGTATCCTGGTACTAATCCTTCTTTCCTGGTTCTAATCCTTCTTTTCTGTTCTAATCCTTCTGTCCTGGTTCCAATCCTTGTATCATGGCTCTAATCATTGTATCTAATCGTCTATCGTTGTTCTAATCCTTATATCCTGGTTCTGATCCTATTATACTGGATTTAATCCTTGCATCCTGGTCTAATCCTTGTATCCTGGTTCTAATCCTTGTATCCTGGTTCTAATCCTTCTATCCTGGTTTTCCTGATTTTAATCCTTGTATCCTAGTTCTAATCTTTGTATTTTGGTTCTAATCCTTGCATCCTGGTTCTAATCCTTTCATCCTGGTTCTAATCCTTGTATCCTGGTTCTAATCCTTCTATCCTGGTTTTCCTGATTTTAATCCTTGTATCCTGGTTCTAATTTTTCTATCCTGGTTTTCCTGATTTTAATTCTTGTATCCTGATTCTAATCCTTTTATCCTGGTTCTAATCCTTGTATCCTGGTTCTAATCCTTGTATCCTGGTTCTAATCCTTGTATCCTGGTTCTAATCCTTCTATCCTGGTTTTCCTTATTTTAATCCTTGTATCCTGGTTCTAATTCTTGTATCCTGGTTCTAATCCTGGTATCCTGGTTCTAATCCTTGTATCCTGGTTCTAATCCTTGTACCCTGGTTCTAATCCTTGTATCCTGATTCTAATCCTTGCTTCCTGGTTTTAATCCTTTTATCCTGGTTCTAATCCTTGTATCCTGGTTCTAATCCTTGAATCCTGGTTCTAGTCCTTGTTTCCTGGTCTAGTCCTTGTATCCTGGTTCTAATCCTTGTATCCTGGTAATCCTTGTATCCTGATTCTAATCCTTGCTTCCTGGTTTTAATCCTTTTATCCTGGTTCTAATCCTTGTATCCTGGTTCTAATCCTTGAATCCTGGTTCTAGTCCTTGTTTCCTGGTCTAATCCTTGTATCCTGGTTCTAATCCTTGTATCCTGGTTCTAATCCTTGTATCCTGGTCTAATCCTTGTATCCTGGTTCTAATCCTTGTATCCTGGTTCTAATCTTTCTACCCTGATTTTAATTTTGTAGAATGATACAATATATCAGAGTTGATGTCGGAACTTCAGTGTGAATATTGTTAATCTTGAACACTTAATCTGGAGTGAATATTCTATGCGAGGAGTTTTAAATCTAAGGATACGAATATCACGGAATATCGAAGAGGGATTAAATTAATCTGCAGGTCAGTATAAGGTCAAGATCATTGCTTGATCCTGAGTTATACAACAGGAAAGTTCTGATTTCTGATAACATTTTGTAACATATTAATCTGAAACCAAAATAATTCAATAAATTTTTTAAACGATATTTATTCCAGCTTAAAAGACCATGCTTATCCTTGAATGCATAAACATTTTAATTAATAAATAAGTATAACTGAATATGGTAAGTAGAGAACTATTAAATGATTTTCCTCTTTGCTATTTCTCTCAAATTAAACAATTCGCCATGGATTTTGAAATATGTAATTGTTATAATATTTCTCAAAATGTTCAGGACAAATGTTGAGATATATCTTTTTACAAGTAACAAAATCCTTAGAAACTTTTCATAATTAGAATAAAAAAGAAAACGAAAATCATTCCACAGTTTATGACTTCAAATGTTATAATTAGTTTTTAAATTACAAATATGTTAGTTAACAAATTATCGACATTAAACTCTTTATGAGCAAAGATTTCAAATAGGCTGCAAATGATGAAGAGTAAGTTATAAGGCGGGTTCAGTAAAAATATTGATTCTGGAACGAACATGATAACCTTTGAGCGTTCAATACTCGTTAATAAAAACTCATTAAATTAAGTTATATTCCATATTCGGTCTATTTGTAATTTTTTTAACAAATAACAGAATAAGTCAAATTGTTAGCAAGAGATAATAGCAATCAGTGTTGATACAAGATCACACCAATCATCGTTAGTAACTTATACAAGCAATCATTGTTAGCCTGATCATTGTTCAGTATGATAGAGTATTAATGCAACAAAGAGATAATAGCAATCAGTGTTGATACAAGATCACACCAATCATCGTTAGTAACTTATACAAGCAATCATTATTCATTGTTAGCCTGATCATTGTTCAGTGTGATAAAGTATTAATGCAACAAAGTTTAGACTTCAAAAATCCACTAAATTTTATTTAAAAATCCACAAATTCAGTTTTCTTCTATTACTATTACTACTATTACTAAAGAACATTTTGATTTATATAAAAAAATTATTATTTCACAATGCTAACTCCATATAAGCACATCAGCAAAGATCAGCTTATCAAGATGGCGCGCCATACCAGGAAGAGAGCTGAATTATGTGTCAAAGTTGTTGGTGGCCATTTCAAACATTTTGTACATAAAGTAAATGTGTTTACCGTTATCTTTTGTGAATGTTCTATTGTATACTGAATAAAAATGTAAAAAAGTTCATGTATTTAGTGATATTTGATCCATTTCTGAAGTTAAACTTTGTTGCAGTAAAACTTCATCATACTGTATGCAGTATAGCACTATGGCACACAAATTAAGAAAAGCCAAATTAGGTATTATTACAGCTCGTAAATCTGACAATTACATAAATCACGCAACACGAGTAAACAAATAAAAAATTAGTATTTCTTTATATTTGCGATTTTTTTAAAAAGATATTTCAGCCGTCACTAAAGTGTTAAATGATAATTATAAAACTAACAGAATGACTAAGGAGTCAAACACTGACTAAAAAGTAACTTATAAAAAAAAGCATAATTAATTTCTTAACAATTACATAATGAGTACATACATACAAACATTCATAAGGGTTATTACATATTTTCTTTCACAAATTCAAATCTTTTTTATCAATTCGTTTGGCTCGGCGTAAACAAATCGTCTAGTTGGCCGGCAAAGCATCGTCTATTTTGACGAAAATCCATCGTCTAATTAGTTTTTGCTTTCTTCTTTAGAGCACGAGTTCTCATCTAACAATATTCTCAACATGAAATTAAATTTTCGTTAAATGTATAAATTTTAAATATTATCCCCTAAAAATTACACTTAACATCTTAAAAACTTGAAATTTTGTATACCATCGACAATTCGATTAATAAACTACACCCTTTTTCATATCTTTTTTTTTAAACTGGAAGAAATTAAATTCGAAATTTATCAATTAAACTAACAAATAATTAACCATAATTCCGTAGAAGTCAGGGATAAGCCGTCAAGAAAAAAAAACTTTAAATTGTTGAGTTAAGAATTTTCCTGCGACAGATTACTGAACACATACCATCCCTGGATACCAAGAACACTCAGAACACTGATAATAATAATATTAATTTAATATTAATAATAATAATAATAATAATAATAATCATAATAATGTTAATGATAATGATAATGATAATTGTAATAACAATAATAATAATGATACTGAGATGTGAACATACTTGACCCCGAAGAGCATGAGATCATGAGGCCAATATCCTGTAGAGATAGTTTCAAGACCCAGAGTATTCAGAGCAGACCTGGCAATCAATCATTCAGTAAATCAATCTATCTATCGATCAATCAATAAACAAATCAAACTTCTATCAATTAATTAAACATTAGACATTTAAATTTTAACCTAACAAAAGTCAATCGATAAGGAAGGAATTGAGTCTTTGCCCATTTAATAAGCATGACCCTTAATAAAATGGATGTTCATTGGTCACCTGAAATTAAAACATACTAAAATTATTACATAAAAAAGCAAACCATCTGTAAAAATAAATGTCAAACAAAACATCAAACAAAAAAGTTTTGATCGATGAGAGATCTGACCCTTCATTTTATATCTGCTACGAGAACTTTAAAACAATATATTCCAATCTCCATAATAACAATTAGTTTTCATGAAAAAATTCAAAACCAAGAATATTTATAAACTTACTTGGCATAAGTTTCTGGTGAGGGAATAAAGAAAGATGCACTCCGAACTTTAGATCTAGACAATACATTAATAAATTTCACATAATAAATAAAAATAAATACTTTAATGAATTGACCGTTTTATTTATGAATCAGTTAAGAATGTGTATGTAGATAAACACTTACAATTTACTGACAACATAGCAAGGAGCCAAGGCCTGTACAACTATTCCCTTACCCCTGTACTCAATCTAGAAATAATGTGATGAAAACATGTTTAAATATTTGTACAGTGTACGTACACTGTACATACTACTGTGCAGTGTGAATGGTACAGATAAATATTTTGTGACCTATAACAATGTATTCAGAGGCGTATTCAGGGGGGGGGGTCTGTGGGGGCTGCGCCCCCCCTGGACCAGTGCAATCAATGGATTTCAGGGGGTTTTCAGGCCCTAACGGGTGCTGTGTCCCCCCCCTGTAAAGAAAAAAAAGTTCCTGAATGTTTGAGTGGGGTGTTTTACCCTTAGAGTAGAAATACCGACCAGCCGTCCTGGACATTATTTCTCATAATGTCCCAGGACAATTATGAGAAATAATGTCACAGAATATTTTCAAATTAAAGGAAAATAACGGGATATTAATTCTCTCAAATGGAATAAATAAAGTTCAGAAGTTTGAGCGTTCTAATGTAAACCATTTTTAAGCTATGGGGAAAAAAATTATGGACCCCCCCCCATTGGACTAACCAGGGCTAGAAGCGTTGGGTTTCTTAAATTTGAATTTAATCGCGTTTTGGTCTATAATTTATCCATCTAAAAATTTTATGAGTTGATACAATGTGTTGCACGCACCTCTGCTTCTTTAGTAAAAGTAAATTCAACCTATATGAAGCATAAAGTCTGACCGCGTCAACCTTGTTGCACTGGCTAGTAGAGCTAGGTACAGTACAAACTGGGACCGGAAAAGTTGACCCGGCTCGGAAATTCAAATGTACTACGGCTGCCCGTGGTTGATTAATCCTTATTCATTAATTACGCGTCCGCCAACAAAAAAGTATACAAGATAAGACGATTTATTTGGTTTGGTAAAATTGGAATCGAAAGTCACTGTTTGCTGGTGGCAATTGTGATAGGGTTGTGTTGCTGTGTTGTTGTTTACTTCTGATCTGGTTCAAGAATGTTCAAGTGTACTGCAATGTTGTTGTTTACCTCTAAGTCCTGACTGAACTGGTTTACGAATGCCTTGGTAGAAGAGTATACGGAGAGTAGAGGAGTGGATTGTAGAGAGGAGAAGGAACTGAGGTTTATTACAGCACCCTTTCCTCTAAACAAACAATTTACTTTTTCATATATTCAAAATATATAATAATTAGGCTTTTAGGGCGCTTCGCACCCATCTTCTATTTCAACTTTTAATTAAAGGCTCTGTCTGTGAGCACAGTTATCTTATCTTATCTTTTTGTACAATTTATAACAATTAAAAAAAATTTCGCAGATTATCTAACAATTTTTCGCGTATTATGTGAGGTCCCACAACAAATTTGAGCCTGATTGGTTGAGTCGTTTATTAGAAACAAACGGACAAGCAAAGTATATATATATATTTATTACGGCAGTTGGAGGGGGGGGGGGGGCAGGGTCATCTTTATAGCCAGAAGGGAGAGGGGTCCAGTCTTATCGGACCCCTAGTAATAAAGAAGAAAATTTAAGATGCCGTCTTAGACGTACATAGAAATAAACGTCGTACTGAGTATGTGTGACACATGCAGAAAAATTTAGGTATCTGTAAAAACCAGAACTCAAATAACAATGAATTTTTATTAATTAATAATCTCAATACATCACGTGAATTAAAAATTATTATAAATAAAATGTGATGTAGACTTAAAAGTTTATCGAATCTTATAACTTTGAAACTGACCAAAACATTAATGTCAGACAATTGTAATGGGCGACGACTAGCGGTGAAAACATGAACTAATAGTATAGTTTCAAACGAAATTCCTTCATCAACCCCATCTGGCAGCGAAACTTTGAACCACGAGTGATTTGAATGAAGAACATTTTTGTATAAAAAACGTTTTTTACATGAACTCAGAACTAACGTAGTTTTAAAAACCTTTAATCAAAAAGCTAGCATCAAACGACGTAAAAAAGGGTAGAAAATAGAAAAATCACATGGACAGGTACCTGGTACATTGTTCACATGGACAGGTACCTGGTACATTGTTCACATGGACAGGTACCTGGTACATTGTTCACATGGACAGGTACCTGGTACATTGTTGACATGGTCAGGTACCTGGTACATTGTTGACATGGTCAGGTACCTGGTACATTGTTCACATGGACAGGAACCTGGTACATTGTTCACATAGTCAGGTACCTGGTACATTGTTCACATGGACAGGAACCTGGTCCATTGTTCACATGGACAGGAACCTGGTACATTGTTCACATGGACAGGAACCTGGTACATTGTTCACATGGACAGGAACCTGGTACATTGTTCACATAGTCAGGTACCTGGTACATTGTTCACATGGACAGGAACCTGGTCCATTGTTCACATGGACAGGAACCTGGTACATTGTTCACATGGACAGGAACCTGGTACATTGTTCACATGGACAGGAACCTGGTACATTGTTCACATGGTCAGGTACCTGGTACATTGTTCACATGGACAGGTACCTGGTACATTGTTCACATGGTCAGGTACCTGGTACATTGTTCACATGGTCAGGTACCTGGTACATTGTTCACATGGTCAGGTACCTGGTACATTGCTCACATGGTCAGGTACCTGGTACATTGTTCACATGGTCAGGTACCTGGTACATTGTTGACGTCAAGTTAAAAAATGAATATTGTAGCTGTGTGTACTGTGTACCTGTTAACCATTGAAGGTAGAACCGCTCGTGTAACATTGAGGACAGAAGAGACATTACAGTTTACCATATTCCTGATAATTATATAATTACAGTTTACCATATTCCTGATAATTATATAATTACAGTTTACCATATTCCTGATAATTACATAACTACAGTTTACCATATTCCTGATAATTATATAATTACAGTTTATCATATTCCTGATAAATATATAATTACAGTTTATCATATTCCAGATCATTATATAATTACAGTTTACCATATTCCAGATAATTGTATATTTACAATCTACCATATTCCTAATAAATATATAATTACAATTTACTATATTTCTAGTAATCATATAATTACAGTTTACCATATTCCTAGTAATAATAAAATAGAAACAGAAGAAAGATATCAGTTTTCTATTTTCATAATAATTACATATATTTATAATCACAATTTTTAAATGAATAGAGTAGACGTGTACAGTACTGTACAAAGAAAATTATTACTTGCCTCAAACTTTAAATATTGATCCTCTATAATGGTCACCTAATTGATATATCAAACCACGACTAATGACTATATAACCATAGTTTGAAATTCCTTAAGTACCATCAGGATGCAAAAATATTAGAATTAAAAAGTAGAGTTCCTGACGACTAATTATTAACTTTTCTGTGGCTTTAGTTAAATTTCGTTTACTTAGCATTATACAGTCACATATATGTAGGGGTTCATAAAACCATAACAAATGTGATATCAAAATGCTCAAAAAATTAAATCAAATAATGTCTGAAGAAAAAAAACCCAGATTAGACTGACCTGCACGCTTCAGCACAGTTCTCGATCTCCAGGAAATATTCTGGATGTTCATATCCCATACCAACATTGTTTATCAGTAGTCCAATACCTCCTTCTATATTCTAGATAAAAATTATATATATCTATACTAGCTGTAGTGCCCAACGTTGCCCGTGGAATTTTGAAGAAAAAAAATTCGATTAAAAAAAAATGTTACCCCCACTCCCCGGGGTACCCGTGGGTTCCCTCGAAAAATTTCAGCCAATTCGGTCTAGCCGTTTGGCCAGCTATTGCTAGCATATATATATATTAAGCATGAAACATCGTGTTTATGACTAAAATATTTTAAGAAAATTGTTACGTTTTCACTGATATATATGTATAAATGAATTTGAATGAGCAAATAGCTTTATAATGTACATACAGTGTGTTCAGGCATAAATAAAACAATATGTGATAAAATTCAAAAATATTTTTGGATCATTGGAAAAAAAATTCCGCAAAACCATTTTTTATTGAAAAAATGAACTTTTTGAAAAATTGTTGGGAAAATGTTTCTTCTATTGTTTTCCAAAAGTTCATATAAATTTAATGAGATATAACAAAAAATTTTTAGCGGAAAATTGCAGTAAATGTTATCAAATTATAACCTTAGAACTGTTATGACTTGAAAAATGTAAATAATAGGTTTACCTTTATTCCCTCTGAGATATTGTTGTAGACAAGTTCCGGTTCTGTGAAATCAACAGCAATAACAACAGTTTTTATCTTATACTTCTCCTCCAGCTCTCCAGCTACATCCTGCCATAGATGATGTAAAATTAAATTATTAACCTGTAGTTTGCTAAGGGTGGTAGCAGGGATATAAAATTACATTATTAACCTGCAGTTTACTGAGGCTCCTGCTCACTAGTACAACATTAATTCCCTGACTCGCCAACCTAGGATAAAAACAAAAATTATAATAATATTAAAAATAATGATAATAAAAATAATAATAATAATAACAATCCAAAATATTAAATATACCAAGGTGGTTTTGCGAGGTATATATCGCAAGAATCTTTAGAGAAAAGAAGGAAAGTTTTTATAAGAATTCATATTATTTGAAAATATATACGACGTTGAAATTCAATCAGTACTTGAATAAACATTATATAAATATTTTTCAATAAACTTGTGTTAGACCTTTATATCTTCATTTATTCATTTCATTATTCTCATTCAAACCTACTGTCAAAGTATCATCTTCTCGCTACTTCCCCAAGTCAGATTGGGTTAGTGAATCAAATCCAACTTTGCATGTTTTTAGGATTCAATGAGTACTAAAGGTTCGTTAGGTGACAAACCTGTTAGCGAACCCTTTCCCAATACCATCTGTAGCGCCGGTCACAACAGCCCAGTCACCCAACTTCCTCACATCTACAGGAGTTCGGACAAACTAAAATAGGGATCTTACAAAACTCGTATTAAAATTCGAAGCAATACTAAATATCCGATTCATTTTCCAAAAAGTCCATAATCCCTCATAAAAAAACGTTCTTAAATCATTCATCCTCCTATCTTCCTTTCATCCTCTTTCACTCCTCCTTCCCTCCCTCATCCCTCCTCCGTTCTCTCCGCCTTCCCTCCCTTATCACTCCTCCTTCCCACCTTCATAGCTCCTCCTTTTCTTGCTTTATCCTTACTCCCTCATCCCTCCCTTATCCTTACTCCCTCATCTCTCCTCCTTCCCTCCTTCATCTCTCCTCCTTCCTTCCCTCATTCCTACTCCTTTCATCCTTCTTCCCTCCCTCATGCCTCCTCCTTCCATCCCCTTCCCTCCCAAATGCTCTATTAGCAAGAAAATCGAGGGGGGGGGGAAGGGTGGAAATATGAAAATAATAAGTTACCTTAGAAATGTAGAGAATAAATCGGATTAGATTGTATCCGATAAACACTGTCCCAGCTAAAGATAAAACCTCCATTTTCCTCTCTGAAATTAGATATTCTGGTTTATCAGAATTATTTCATAAACTACTGACTAGATAAAATATCACAGATAACCTCCAACACGAATTTTATTCCATGTTGAACCCTTTTCCAATAGATACACTTCTTTATACGAATGTTAGCTCCAAGTAAACATTGCTTACTCAAAATTTAAAAGATCTGCTCCAATCTATAGACATTCGCTGCATTTTAAGGTTGTTTGCTCCATTATCGTTCCACTTCTGACATTCAAACCAATTACAGGATTGGTTGCTTTAAATATATCAGATTTCCTCCATAACAAGATCGCTTAATCTTCCAAGTTCAGAAGATCTGCTCCACTTTCATATATTGTTTGCTCCAATTGTAACATATCTGCTCCATCATAGAACTAGAATTATAAACTATCCACTCCATTTTAAAATATTGCTCCATTATAAAATTATATGCTTCATAATATAATTATCTGCTCAATTTTACAATCATCTACACCAGTAAAAACTAAGCTTAATTTTTTTATTTACTGCTCCATTATAGAACTATTTGCTCCTCAATAAGTTCTCTAGGAACAACAACTAGATTGCAAGGATCAATATTTTTAAATGAGTTGACCGGTGGATCCCCTGTAGCCTGACTGTGAACCAGTTTCCTGTGGCGGGTCATGTGACTTGTATTCCTGGTTGTATAGGTGCACTCAGAACAGTGTAAAGGCGGACTATCGGAATGTTTCAGTTTATAATGGCGGGTGAGCTCACTCTTCCTTTTGCAAGAAAAATCACAAGTTTGACAGAAAATAGATTTGTCAGCACTGTGCTTAAACTTGTGACGCTCCAAATCACTGAGAAATCCCGCCACAAAATCACAACCGGTGTAGGTACACGAGAAACTTTCAACCTTGCGTCCCATGTGCTTACTCTCTGTGTGATTCCTTAATCCAGGTTTAGTTTGAAAAGTTTTGTCACACTGATCACAAGAGAATATGTTTTCCTTGTTTGAATGTGTTCTCTTGATGTGCAGGCTGAACAGTTTCTTCTTGGTAGTCTGATATAAACAGTTAGAATAGTTGCAGGCAAACAGTTCTTCAACCTAATAAGGGGATTTATCAGAGAAAGAAACTAAGATGGGGGGGGGGGGGGGTAAATATGACCTTACACTGCAGAGTTTTAAATTGACCAATTCTGCCGGCCATATCAAAAAAAGTAAAAAAAAGTTTCCATTTTTGTGAAAACGGTAAAAAATGGCATACCTGATTTTAATCATTCTAATTGCCATATACATTATACAAGTTTAATGTTAAAAATCAGTTCACACTGTTAGACATCAATAGCAATCACTTGTTGATGTTTATCAATATATTTTGATTAGAAAATGACATGAAGAAGTACCAAGAAATTCATTTTTTTATTGCATTATTATTATCAAAATAATATTCAACCTACAATAAAGGTATTATTAAAAATTAAAAGTTTAAATAAAAAAAGGAATCTTTAATACAAAAATTTAATTGTATCGACAATAACTTTCATGCTAGCGAAATGTTTAGGATTGTTGTGCAGGTTAGAATCTGATAAATATTGGCTTCAAACTGACCTTATGATGTTTAAGATTATGCAAAGAGAGAAGTTCCTCCGAGACAAACTTTCGGAAACAATTATCACATCTAATTATTTCATTATTATAATCAACTAGCTGAAGGGCCCGGCGTTGACCGTGAAATAAAAAAGAAAGATTTTTTTTAGTCTATGCTACCCCCAGGGTACCCATGGGTTTCCTCAAAACATGATGAAGCCAAGTTAGTCCAGCCGTTTAGCTAGCTATAGCTAACAAATATATATATATATATATATATCTATATGAGTTATTACAAGCCAGATTCACAATGGTACCCTAACCCCTTTATCTGAACAACAAGGAGGAATATATATAGTCGATTTTCAATCTGAAAAACTTGCCTCTGCTGCTTGAATCTTTAAGCATATTTTCAGAGATAATAAAAAGGATATCTTTCTTTTTACTCCTGTACAGTTTGTGAATCAGGATTGCAAAACTTGAATTATTTACCTAAACTCTGAAGAAGTTTCTTGAATTATCTGCTTGTGCTTGTTCAGTCTGTGCTTGTTGAAACGCGGTTCGTTGTCTGTTGAGAAGTTGCAGAGATCACAGGGATAGTTTCCAGCATAGGCAAGTATTCCAGATTTTGAAGAACAGCTTTGCTGAATATGACCTTTTAATAAGTCTCCACTTAACTAGGATTGATTGATTGATTATGATTTTTTCTCTCAATGGGTAGTCAAAAATTGCTGATGGAAAAATTGGAATAATTCTTCAATTATGAAGTAAAATGATAGTAAAAATAATAATAAAGATTGTAACAATAATAATATACAACATATTTAGTAAAAAAGAAAACAACTGCTTATTTTGAATTAAGTCAAATATTGATAAAGATTTTAAATAATTATTAACAAGTATCTAAGTGTCAAGTAAGGATTCCTGTTAATTGCTGAGTAAAGTGAAATATTTCTCCACAAAGGCTGCACTGTGGCAGAACTCTGATATCAGCAAAATTAGTTTTAATGGATATATTTATGCTTAAAATTGATTTCAATAAACCTGCAAAGAAATTTAGAGACTTCCGCAAATTGATAATTGTTTACAATCTACAAAAAAACTCAAATTTTATAAAAGGGGAACGATAAAAAAGATGAGGATAAGAAAATAGGATATATCAATTAGCAGAACAAACAAGGGAGGGATGTCTTTAAGTAAAATTGGTTTGGAAAAAAAGCGCGACCTGCTACGGCTAAAACAATTTCACGAAAAAAAGCGACGCGGCAGTGAAGTAATAGAAGCCGTTGAAAAACAGTTTAAATTCTTTAAACCTTGCCATGTCTGCCGTGAGGAGAAAATAAATATGGAAATTAATCTTCAATATTTCAAATAGAAATATAAACAAATCGCTGATTTCCTTAAATGTTGAGTTTGCATGTGTAACTTTAAACATTCTATTCCTTGAAACTCTTCTCCACAGAAGTTACATGGATTGGTTTGGTGCTGATCTGGGTTGGATAAACGCTCTACAGATTCCCTGTGTGTGCCCGTGTTTCTGTGTTGCTTCAGGAGTACGGCAGTCTTGTATTCAGTCCGGCAGATAGTGCACTTGTACTTCAAATCTTTTCGAGGATGAACTTAACAAATTCAAATTTATGAATGGGAACTCGGCTTTTTCCTAAGTTGGACATACAAACAAACAGAAATTACATTCTTAAAAAGATTGTCAAGAAGATTGTTGACCCTATATTTGAGTGGTAACATAAATCATTAAATACCGTTTAACGTTTATTTGATAAACAACAGATAAGAAATTATCATGTTAGTAGATAGAAGTATAGAGTGAGAATTGTGGATATTACGCTCTAAATTCCTGTTCATTCATTTAAAATTAATGTATTTTTAACACGACAAAACATTTAAACGAGCTTTAGGAGAAGAAGATTTAAATTTTTAAGAAAACTTAATTTGCTTTTCAAGTTTGAAAATAATACTTCTATTTATCACAAAAAATGTTTAAAAGTTGAAAATTCTTTAAAAACAATAAGAAACAAACTTCATAAAAGGGATTGTGAGCATAATATAAAGAGACTCGTCATGAAAAGATAGCAATGCCCGATTCACAAGGGTACTATTGAAACATTTATCTAATCAACAAAGCGGAAAATATTGACGTTTTTCTAGGGTTAAAAATATTAAATCCTTGTATTTCCTATTTGGTTTCCTGCAGTAGAAATGTGCAAGTCACTTTTGTAGATAAACCACAATTGAAAATGATCTACTTTCAAAGTTTATAACATTAATATCTAATTCATGCTTAATCAGACAAAGCTTCTAAGGGTACTGTTGAGGATCAGGCATTGCCATCTTTGCTTGAAGGTTGACATGAAATTACGCTTACAGTCCCTTTAATCTTATATGAAAAGCAAAATTTAATAATAGTTTGTTTACCTAGAAAAGAATGTATTTGAACAGATTTCTGCTTGTAGCTCCAGTATTCGCAATAATTACAAGAATACTTCTGATGACCTTTCAGCTGGTAGCCGGTCAATCCGTGAACACTTGTCATGTGCTTCTTCAGCGCTAAATTTAATCGAAACTTTCTCTTGCAGATATCACAAGGGAACAGCTGGAGATTCTTTATGATCGCTGGAACGGATCGATTTATCACAGAAATTAATTCCAGATGATCATCAGATTGCAGATGATCGCTGAGATCTTTATCACTAAAAAATGTGATCTTAATATAATAATGTTCATGTTGTTACTATTTGAATCTTGCATATTAATTTACTAATATAATTTATTTGTCTGTATGATTTTATCATGATGTATTCAGGATCTTGTCAATTTCACTGTCTGATCTTGCCTATTTTTCTTTTTGATCGCGTCTATTTGTCTATCGTTATCTTGTCTATTTGTCTGCCTGATCTTGTCTTTTTGTCTATCTGATCTTGTCTATTTTTCTTTTCGATCTCGTCTATTTGTCTATCGTTATCTTGTCTATTTGTCTGTCTGATCTTGTCTTTTTGTCTATCTGATCTTGTCTATTTTTCTGTCTGATCTTGTCTATCTGTCTGCCTGATCTTGTCTTTTTGTCTATCTGATCTTGTCTATTTTTCTGTTTGATCTTGTTTATTTTTCTGTCTGATTTCTTCTTTTAGTCGATCTGATCTTGTCTATTTTTCTGTCTGATCTCGTCTTCGTCTATAGTGATCTTGTCTATTTGTCTATTGTATGTGTCTATTTGTCTGTCTGATCTTGCCTTTTTGTCTATCTGATCTTGTCTATTTTTCTGTTTAATCTTGTCTATTTTTCTGTCTGATCTTGTCTATTAAATGATTTGGGAAAATGTAGTTAATGAATACGTAATATATTGCGTACCTAGTTAATATTCTGATGCAGATTACGCACCAGTAAGGCCCAGAGGCGGAATGAGATAAGACGTGATCAACCAAATCCCGATGCCAGTTACAGTAAAACTAAAATATCAGAAATTCATAATCATGAATAAAGATTAATTCCTTAGAGAAAAAATAATATAGAAATAAATATTGTGATAGAGAAGGAAAATATTAAGAAAAAATTTATTATTTTAACCTGACAAGGTTGGCACTGAAAGGGAGATTGCCGAACGATCCCGTCAAAGTTTTCAAGAATGAGGCGATCAGAGCTAGGGTGGCCGATAGATCTAAAATAAAATCAATTTTTTATTCTTGGAGATAAATTCTGAATCTTAAAGCCCTTATATTTTTTGAAGTGAGTGAGAGGGGTGTATTAAAAATTGGAGAGTTTTTCCCAATTTCCAATTTAGAAATAAACAAGGTTTTGCACATACAGAGCGTCCCATATCATATTAGATTATCTCTAATCTTTAACGACAAAATAAACCCTTAATACTCGAAAAACTTATGATTTTCCGCAAGAAAATTATTATATAAGCCTTATGTTATTTTTCAAATTGATTTATTCTAATTAAATTTTCTTATTAGTCCCAAAAATCGCAATTTAGACCTGATGACGGTCTAATATGATGTGGGACACCCTGTATGTACGTACCACTAAAAGAATACTTGAAAATATGATTTTTCCTACCTATGATAGTGGAAATGAGAGATCAGATGTTTGGGGAACTGATGGGATTGAACCCTGGCTCCACAGCTCTCACACTCAACCATTCTTAACTTTAATTCAGATCGTTCGTCCTTAGCCCTTGTTTCCTCTATTTCTTCGTCCTTAGTCCGTGTTTCGTCTATTTCGTTGTCCTGTGCTCTGTCTGTTTTCGCGGAATTTGTTCGATTTTCTTTGGAAGATTTTCTGTCAGAGGTTTGTTTCATTCGATCTCGTAGAATTGGAGTAAATTTGGAATTTCTTAACTGACAATTGGAATCTGCTGTGTCATGCTTTGCTGAATTCTTAAAATGCAACTCGGAATTTAAATGCCTTCGCCAAACCACTGTAAATCAATACTTTAATTAACTAAAAATTTAAAAAATCTTTGTTTATATCTTTTAAAATGATAAAAAATAAAATAGATAAAATGTTAGTATTTAATTTCCTTCTGAGGACAGGGTCCGGTTGCAATATTGGCAGTCAAATTTACCAGAACTTTCTTTAGAACAATCTTCTTTTTCTTCGATTATCTTCTTTCCTAAAAAAATTATTATAAAGCTTAAATTTATCGGATCGACTTACCTAAAATTAAATTTTTTATTAAAAAATATGAAAATAAATATTTTAGAAATCTAAAGCTTAAATGAGGAACTGTATATAGTTATGAAGTTAGTTTGAAAATCTTAAATTATGTTTTCCAGCTGGGACCCACGGCCCTGGGGGGGGGGGGGGGGAAATGCCCCTGAATTGCATTAACTATTTGATGATCTGTAGGATTTGCATCTCCAGGTATATTACCTATATGATGAGCCTGTATCTCTATATCTGTATCTCCAGGTTTATTACCTATATGATGATCCTGTATCTCTGTATCTGTATCTCCTGGTATATTACCTATATGATGATCCTGTATCTCTGTATCTGTATCTCCAGGTATATTACCTATATGATGAGCCTGTATCTCTATATCTGTAGGATCTGTGTCTCCAGGTTCTCTATGATAATCAGAAGGAAGTATATTCTCCCCACCTACCCATGACTCATCCTCCTAAATATAATGTAATCAAAATAGGAAAAAGAACAATTTTTTACCAGGCAAAAAGAAAATTTTTCAATGCCAAAAAATATTTTTATTTAACGATTATTGTTAATTATTTCTAATCTATCCTTTTTCATCATTTACCTTTTATCTTTTAAGACAAATCAACTTCAAAGGAAACCAAAAAACTCCTAAAGGTGATACAAAAACAACCAAAAAACTCCTAAAGATGATACAAAACAACCTAAAAATTTCTAAAGGTGATACAAAAACAACCATAAAACTCCTAAAGGTAATACAAAAACAACCAAAGAACTCCTAAAGGTGATTCAAAAACAACCAAAAAACTCCTAAAGGTGATACAAAAACAACTAAAAAACTCCTAAAGATGATACAAAAACAACTAAAAAACTCCTAAAGATGATACAAAAACAACTAAAAAACTCCTAAAGATGATACAAAAACGACTAAAAAAACTCCTAAAGATGATACAAAAACAACTAAAAAACTCAAAAAACTCCTAAAGATGATACAAAAACAACTAAAAAACTCCTAAAGATGATACAAAAACAACCAAAAACTCTGAAAGGCGATACAAAAGCAACCAAAAACTCCTAAAGGTTTTACAAACAAAAAACTCCTAAAGGTGATACAAAAACAACCAAAAAAAACTCCTAAAGATAATACAAAAACAACACAAAAACTCCTAAAGGTTATACAAAACAACCAAAAAACTTATAAAATTGATACAAAAACAACCAAAAAACTTCTAACGGTGATACAAAAACAACCAAAAAACTCCTAAAGATGATACAAAAACAACACAAAAACTCCTAAAGATGATACAAAAACAACCAAAAAACTCGCAACAATTACATCATAAGCATGAGCCAAAATTTTTTTTACCAAGCCCTGCACCTAATGAAGAAGTTCTAGGCTTACTATTTATACTACAAAACGAGCCCAAATGAGCCAATACAACAACAAATGAGCCACAATAACTACCAGAAAAGCCCCACGTCCCACAACATCCTTACCGGCTTACGAAACGTACCTCTGGATTCCAGAGCCTCCATCTATTTCTCTCCGGGGCCTCTACTCTCGTTAGTCCAAGAACAGTCAGAAAATCCAACTCATCAACCTACAGGAAAAAATCATAATTGTGTCAGAATTTTATGTTCTTTTGCAACTTTCAAGACGCAAATTCTACAAGAAAATTAATTTTTCTAATAAAAATTTGTTTAAGAAAAATTAAATTAAATCAAAATATATTTTTTCTTTTATAATCAAACCAAAGATAATTACATTTCACCAAGCATAATATTGCTATCATCAAAAATTGGATTAAGTTTAATATTGCTAATATAATAAATATGATTATTTGTACAAAAAATAGTAAGTTAGCCTCACCCCATTCTGCTCTAGTTCTGGTAGCTTTAAAACAGGAAAAATTGGATCTGGCAGCTTTTCACCCCCTTCATCCGGGAACCACGAGGTTTGGGATCCGTCCTGGGTCTGGTTGGTTGGTCCTCGGAGCCAGCTCTCCGGGCATAATGGAGTATGACGGTTCCAGCTCTGGGTAGAATTAGGACTAGCTTCAGGTTCCGGTATCCAGTCATCTGGTTTAGTAGGACGGTTCCAGCTCTTTGTAGAATTAGGACTAGCTGCAGGTTCCGGTATCCAGTCATCTGGTTTAGTAGGACGGTTCCAGCTTTGGGTAGGACTAGGGGTAGCTTCAGATTCCGGGATCCAGTCCTCAGATTTAGTAGGACGGTTCCAGCTCTGGGTAGGACTAGGGGTAGCTTCAGATTCTGAGATCCAGTCCTCAGGTTTGTCACTGGCCGGGTTAACCCAATATAAACCTTGTAAAAAACATATTTCTTTTTCTATTAGTTGAACAAATTATGGTTTTTTGTGTTAAAACTTTTTTTACAGTTTGCAAAATAGAAGAAATTTTAATCAAATTTGTACTTCTACTTCTACTGAATAAAAAAAACCCCAGAAAATAGAGATTAAATTACAAAAATATAACATGTTTTCCTTCCCTATTGCATCGAAGAAGGACATATCACTGCTTTGACCCGCTCCATGCTCACGGTGAGACATCGTTTCAATATTTCTTCCCAAGGATGAATCCTCGATCGCCGAATTAATCTGAGACAAATCGTCCGTCCGGTCGGCCGTTTGTAGCCCGAGGGAATGAAAGAAACTTGTCTCTGAGATGGAAGGGTCATTTCCAAATTCTGTCGTGAACTCCATTCTTCATACCCTTAAAATACAAAATGTTAATAAAAAAATCGGGGGAAAAGTAAGTCATGTCAGATCTTGAAATAAAATCATTTCTAGCATCGAAAATATCGAAATTTTAGATCAAGGATTTCTGGAAAATAAAATTTAATTTTCATTGATCTAATTGGTCAAATTTCTTTATATTTACTTTGTATAAACGTATAGCCATAATTTACTGAGAACTTCTATCTCACTGCACTAGGCTTTGGGACACTTACAAACTTTTTGGTCTAAAACCTTAATTAATATTTCTTCACTCGAATTTTTAAAAATTAACAAAAATATACATTACACGTATTTATTATCAACTGCTCATTTAGGACATTTATCTTTTTTCTTTTGGTGTCGTCTTTACACTTTAAAGATCAGTTTCTGACTGGTGCAGAGTACAAGTATCCTGACTAACTACAGATTATACTGTTTAGTTTTAGTACAACTGCTGATACTGTTTAGATTTAATGCCAAGTCAGAATACTGAGAGAGGGAGAGTTATACTCAATATACAGATAACAATTAAAGAGAGAGTGGGGGGGGGGGGGATGCATTGATAAAATGACAGAGCTACTTTTAGATAATGTTGGTAGTGATTTTCTAATCAGTTAAAGTTGATGATTTTTTAACGACTTTAACTCAAACCAGAATAAATTAATAGTTAGCTTGGAAACCCAGCTTTGCCTGCCTTCACAATAAAAGTTAGTTTTTAAACTTGGAAAATGATCATCCTCGTGGCTCTATTAATATAAAGCGTTACTTGTCCAGATTTCAACGGTACCCGTACGCCCTTTTATAGGATTACCGATGAGGAAGATATCGTCATTTTTCTGTCTCAAAAACAGTATTGTTTTTTTTCCTCACATTTAGAGAACCGCAATTGAAAATAATTAATTTATAGTCAGAAAAAACGGAGATATCTCTAAGAGTACAATGTTTAACAAATCTTTAAATAGTGTAAACCCATTTTTTTTATGATGACAGACACTTACAGGAGATATGAAGCAAAACAAGTTTCTAAATCATACGGTGTCATGGAAATGTTTCTATCTTAGATTAATTGGAATACTGAAATCATCCTATTTCATTGATCATTGCCTGAAAACCTTGGACAATACTTGTCACAACTTTTTGTAACAAAATTTGCAGCAGCAGTGCAGTGAATTTTCTCTGACGTGTACGTTGTTTTTTAGTTGATTTTTCCAGGAATACTGACTCAACTAAATGAAGGTTCAGGTTCAAATTCATCGTTTCATATTCTTAGTTTGTAGAAAAAAATTTCACTGCACAAAGCGGAGTTTAACAATTCTGAGGATATTAATTGTAAGAATTCCGCATTAATAATGACAAATGGGATAAAAAAGGTAAGGAAAGGAGTGGATATTTTCTATAAAAGAATTTTGGTTCTTGTACGTTCATCTTGGCCAGAGCCAGTTGTTGCTCCTCTGAAAGCTAGATGTATACTTAACCTTGGACAATAAATTTCAAAAGAATTTTCATCACAAACCTGTTATTTTTAAAGTTAGCAAATAGTAGTTACAATTTTACCATTGTAATTCTGAAACTATATAAAAATATAATTGTTCTTTATGGTTGTATCGATGTACAAATGTACAATAAGTTAGCAATTTAGATAATATTTATTTTTAGTACAATAGTATTAAGAAAAAGTAGGCTTTGGTTTAAAATTAATGAAATTGGTTTAAAGATTACAATGTGTTTATATTTACTAAGCTTAGTAATCAAAAATTTTGATATAATGTTCAACTAAAAATAACACCTCTGTTTAGGTTATAACATAGAAAAATGTTGAATTAAAAACCAAAAATCAAACTTTTTGTTACAATTTGGCAATTTACAATAAGTATACAATTTTATTTTGACTTTATCAAAAGCTATGAATCACGAGATTTTTCAATGAACATTTTATATTAGTTCATTGGGAGGCGGGGGTTCCTTTTTGATACAATACTGAATGAATTTCTAAGTATAATTGAATCAGTCTTTACAATAGAGATCATGAAGGTTTACAAGCAATCTCATGAGTCCATTTGTTCAATGTACAATATTTATAATCCAATAATATAATGTTTGTTGAGCATCATTTCTGCTTGTGCTTCATGTCAAACCAGCGTTGATACTCTTGACGATGATAATGCAGTTTTCTACCGCTACGCTCCGTCACAATCACGTGAGGACAATGTACTGAAAATCAGATTTTTATTAAAATTATTTAGTAAAATCTACAAAAAAAAAAATTAAAAAATCCACGAATTCTATTGAGAAAAAATCTGCGAAAATACTTACATCCACTGTGTCCCTTCTTACAGTTGACAGAGCCAATTCCAGAAGGCACCTCATGAGTTAGATAGGGAACATAAAGACCAGAGACAGGGCTTACTGTCCTTGTTGACTCAGTGTCTGATTTTGGAGAAGGGGCGTTGGTTTTAGCTAACTGTAGGACAGATTTAGGGATCGGGTTATTAAGCAGTTGAATTGTAGAACTGGTTCCAACGTTGTTAAAACCAGATGGCATCGTTGGTGATTCAACAGCTGTGGTGGTTCGAAGGAGGTTGCTTGGAGAGGAGAGTTGTGAGTTGATAGATTGATTTAAGGGAGTGTTCATGGAGTGAGGGACTGGAGGAATAAGGGTGTGTAGAGGTGGCATAGGGTTGGCTAAAGTCGAATATGGAGACTGTTTGTTATCTCCTGTTTTCCCACCGACTCCGTTGCAAAACTAAAAAAGTTAAATTTTAAATAAATCTAACAAACTTGCAATGCTTTTAAACTTACCCTTGGAAGGGGGGTGAGATCTACTTTTCCTCTTTTACTTTCTCCACCTTCATCATCGGTACTGCCTCGACGTTTGCTAAAATAATTTCAAATATTATTAAAACAAATAAAGAGTTTGGATATTTCAAAGATAAACATTTTATTTTTATCATTGGGACATTTCTTCAAGGACCTGACTCTTTGACTGTAGGTTGAAAGTTAATAATAAAAATAAACGAGACATTTATTAACATCTATAACCAGAAATATGTCATAAACTGGGAAAATAAATTATTTCTTATTTCCAAAAACCACCCTTTCTAATAATTCTATCAATAAAGAAAAGTTTCTCCTATCCTTAAAATGTCCTCTATTTGATGTTAATATCTATGAAAAAATCAATCATTTTTAATTTAACACATATTTCTATATAATATTTAACACAAAAAAGATTTACAGAAAAAAAGGCAAATAATACAATTCTTACAAGTTTCATGGCAAACAATCCTGTAATAAAAAGTTTTTATTTTTACCTAACAGAAGGGTCCACAGCAAGTGATTTGACAATACTAAACGTCGTTGGTGATTTTTTTGAGGTTGAAATATCCACAGTTTGAGCCTCTTCATTCTCCACCCTCTCTTCTCCTTTCAGATCAACGGTATCTTTCTGCTCAACATTATCCTTCTCCTCCCTGATACTGTCATAACTCTCGCTCATGTCCACGATGTCCGGGACGATGGTGATCTGCTCTTCAGGGTCGGAGTTGGAGAAACTGTTGCTTAAAGACTCGTTGGTATCGATGTCATATCGTGGCTCCATTTTCGCTCTTTCGTGTTCTTGTACTTTCATATATTGGGACAAATTCGACATGAAGTGGTCTTTTACAAACAAAGGCGGTTGGGAATCGCCGAAGTTGAGTCGACAACCGCCGGGGTCGAGGTTGCCCGGTCGTGAATCGCTGAAGCCGCTCATATTCCCGAGCCTGTGCCCAGGATCAGGAAGATTGGTTTTAGGTTCGGGATTACTTTCTTCTTTGGATAGACCGCTAAATAATATGCAAAAATTATATACTATTAAATACAGAGTATTTGGAAATTTTATTAGGACAAAATAAATTTTAAAATGGCCAATAATGAATTTTAGATCATTAATCAAAATTGAAATGAAATTATACAATGATTCATAATTTCCATTAACCCTTGCAGCCTTTCATAGCATAAAATAATCTATCTTCATTTATAAAGTAGTCATCTCTGTCCGTTTATATTTGTATTTCCAACCATAACTTATGAATCCCTTAAAAAACTTAATTGATTGGGTTGAATTTAACTAAGACAACTTATACTTGGTATCCAAGCAAAGCTGAGGCCCAAAGCTAGTCAGAAAAGATTGTTTAAAGAACTGAGTGCTCACCATATTTTCAGTTCATTTGCAACTTTGAGAAAGGGCTCAATATCTGCTGGAGATATTTCTATTTGACCTAAAATAAAATAGTTGTGATTTCAGTTGCATCCAGCGACTGACGGGTTTTCCAACGCTCTATCATCCTCGGAAGTAAAAACAAACAAAAAATGTTAAATTTTTACTTAAGTAATCTGTACCTGTGTAAACGTACTGCAAAATATTCTGAATGAATATTGGAGAAACGTTCATCATATGGATGAAGGCAGCTTTATCTGTACTGTACGCTAGAATCTTTCTAAAGTACTCGCTTGAGGCACAAAGAACAAGACGATGGGCCTGCAACCGACACCAATTTTATTTGAATAATCATTCAAGAAAATTAGAATTTTACATTTGTTTTTAAACAAATAAAAGTCCGTAGTCCATTATCACAGAGAATTATATTATAAAATGTGTACGACAAGGGAATGTTTATTTTTCATTCTATAAAATATTATCATTTCTATTATTTAACAATATTCCCCACAATTTCACCCTAAATGCAGTACAAATCCCGAAAATTCAAGAAGCCACAAAAAGTGTAATTTTTCCCCCCAATGTAACTTTCCTGCCCTAAGATTAGAAATACTATAAAACAATTGAAAATCATTAAAATAATGGCGTCCGTTTCCTTAAATTGTTTATCCTCGCACGTGATTGTAACATCTGTCAAGATATCTCGATGTCTAAACAATCAAAACTTTAAAATCTTGTTTTTAATTTCATCAACAGAGCATTTTTTTTTGCATTGATGGCCGCAAAAGTAGGCAAAAAATTGGTACACCCCCCATCAAATCATAAATAAGAAAAAAAATCGTAAGTTTTTATAAAAAAAATGACTCGCCCCTAAATGTGCTATGACATTTGATTCTAAAGTTCTGGATTGCCTGAGTGATGATATTCTGGAGAAAAAGTATGAGGAGTGCTCCCCCCAACTGCACATATAGTTTACATTCACCATTTTTCTGAAAAAGAATCAAATTGAACGAAGACTGTCAATTAAAGGTCCAACGACGAACCCAAGGCTGGGAGATCTCCCAAAAAACCGAATATTCTTCGGAAAAATCTTAATTTATCATTTGATGTCCTAAAGGTGTTGGCGATCTCATTCCAACACGTGTCGTCTCTTCCGATCACATGTCATTTTTCCCTCAAATTTTCCTTAAAAATCACTGATTCACCAGATATCATTTCTAATGCAATAATATTTTCACTTATACTTGAAACAGCTGAATTTTAGTTATTTTGTTAAAAGATTGTACAGTCTACAGACTTAACCCTGACTTTTGTTAAGCCTTCTTAACTGTATTCCTTGACTTAAGGTTAGGTCCATCTTGACTTCTTCCTCGGCTGTTTAGTGAAATCTGTCTCAACCATGTCAGCGATCTTCTGGGAGTCTTCGATACTTGACTTTATCGCGCTACTAAAATACAATAATCAATGTCTGTAACTGATTAAGTTATCTTAAGATCGATTAAAAGGATCGGTGTATTGATTACAAGGATCGGTATATCGGTTACAAGTATCATGCAGTATATCGATAAAAGGGTCGGTATATCTATAACAAGGATCGATAACTATCATATGGATCCGTAAATCGATATATCCGAATATTGATTACAAGGATAGGTATATGTATTACCTCTGATCTCCATGAAGGTCAACGGCTTTATCCTCTGAATTGTACCAATCTGTTGTATCATCTACAAATAAAATATAGTTACAACCCGTTGCTTGAATTTGATCTTGCTTAAAGGGACTGAGTCCGAAATAAATTAATTTGAGCCGCGTCTCAAATCCCCTAAAAACCGGTTTCAATTGAGCGCCGGCATAAATCTTGAAACATTGAATACGATTTTAAGTGGAACCAACCATATTTGAGTCGCGGCTTAAATTTAAGTCGTGGCTCAAATTCTTTTAATCCGCCTTTGTACGCGTAATTTTAAGTGACCTTACATGCAAAGATTACAACGCCCGATTCAAACGGTACCCATTAAAACTTTGACTGCTCAAGTGTGAGTTAAATATCAATGTTTATAATTAGGATTCTCTAATAAAATGACTCACGCATTCTACTGCAGGAAAACATGAATGAATCATCAAAATTAAACACTTTTCAACCTAAAAAACGACAATAGCTTTCATATTATTGATGAGATAATGGTTTCATGAGTTTTTGTAGTTAATCTGCCATCTTTCCATGTGGGGTCACATGAAAGTACGCTTACAGTCCCTTTAAGAAAATAATGTTTGATAATTTCAGATTAATTTGCAATTATTCCAAGATTATTATATTACCTAGGTTTGCACCAGCTCCTACAAAACTTTGGACCATGGGACCTGAACGAAAAAAATATTTAACAAAAAAAATATATTTTTATTTCAAAAATTCAATTTGAACTGAATATTTAACGTTATTTCCTTATTCCATTATCATTATCATTATAATTATTATCATACTAATTATTAAATATCATTATCATAACCGTTATCCATAAAATTACTTTTATTATCATTATTATTGAGAATCTAAATACATTTTTTAGAAAGTAAAATGACACTATGGTAACAAATGGCAAAAAAAGAAATATGAGTTTTGCAGAGAAAAAATGAAAACAAAGTAAATATATTTCATCCTAATCTCCTGGCTGACCTGCTGCTGCAGCATTCTGTTTTGAGATCCTGTATCCAAACTTATCCTTCTCATCTGGAGCTATATTCAGGTCAACAGCTTCCTAAATATATATATTCAAGTCAACAGCTTCCTAAATATATATATTCAAGTCATCAGCTTCCTAAATATATATATTCAAGTCAACAGGTTCCTAAATTTATATTCAAGTCAAAAGGTTCCTAAATATACATTCAAAACAATAGCTTCCAAAATATATATTAAAGTCAATAGCTTCCAAAATATAAATTCAAGTCAATAGCTTCCTAAATATATATTCAAGTCGACAGCTTCCTAAATATACATTCAAAACAATAGCTTCCAAAATATATATTCAAGTCAACAGCTTCCTAAATATATATTCAAGTCAATAGCTTCCAAAATATAAATTCAAGTCAATAGCTTCCTAAATATATATGCAAGTCAACAGCTTCCTAAATTTATATATTCAGGTCAACAGCTTCCTAAATATATATTCAAGTCAACAGAATCCTAAATATATATTCAGGTCAACAGCTTCCAAAATATATATGCAAGTCAACAGCTTCCTAAATATAAATATTCATGTCAACAGCTTCCTAAATATATATTCAAGTCAACAATTTCCTAGATATATATATATATTTAAGTTAACAGCATCCTAAATATATTCAAGTAAACTGCTTCTCAAATATATATTTACATCAGCAGCTTCCTAAATTAAATATATTTAGATCAAACAGCTTCCTAAATAAAATATATTTCAATCAACAGCTTCCTAATTCAAATGAATTTAGATCACCAATTGACAATCACCATATTCAAGTCAA